TAATTTCGTTTTGTTGTCTATAGGAAAGTCTTAATGTTCCTTTGATTTCATGCAACTCTCTAACTTTTTGTTTTTTTCTCTAAATGTTCCCTTTAATAGCCAAATGCAACTCCAGCACCAGTTCCACAACAACCAGTGAAGGCATTTACTCCTACCAACTTGCCAGGTCTAAAAAATCCTGAGCAATACCAGCAACCAACTTTGGGCTCCCAGCTTTATGCGGTATGTTGCATGCAATTTATGGGTTGCTTGGTTTGTGGGAATCGCACAAATTGATACACCACCACCTCATCTCTCAAAGCGAAAATCATTGGATGATCCCATGATGGATCATCCTATGGAGTGGTTCACCAAACCAACCACCTTTTAAAGTTCCACCTCATATTTATTCAATGTTACTTACAAAGTGATTTTTATCTTGTCTAAACAGGGTGCTAATCCACCATATACTTCTGGACAATCGACTCCATATCAAGGTGTACCTCCCACCACATACCATCAGCCTAGACCACCTACACAATTCCAAACAGTTCCCACAGCACCTCCAGCTGTTTCTAGTGCCACTGTACCAGGAACGACCCCAAGTCAGATGTTCCCTGGTCCAGTTGCTAATAACCCGACTTCCAGGTTTATGCCATCAAACAATCCAGGTTTTGTTCAAAGGCCAGGTTTGAGTCCTGTACAGCCCTCAAGTCCAACACAGGCACAAGGACAACCGCAGCCTGTTGTTGCACCTCCTGCACCTCCCGCAACTGTGCAGACAGCTGACACATCGAAGGTGTCTGGTATGTGGAATATGGATCCAAGGCTAGCTTTTGTTTTTTGTCATTACTTGATCTCCTCCTTTACTTTCCTAAGTGATATCAAAGGATCTATCAGTTTTTGTTTTCAACATTACCACTTAGACTAATATGGGTTTCAGAACTTTGTACCAAATTTCTTACACAATCATCTGTTTCATACTTGAATTCTACCCGATATTTATCTAGGAGGCTTCCTCTCCCTTTCTGTTGTGTTGGTGCCTTTCTTACAGTCGTGCTAACTTCTCTTCTTGTTTGCAGCTGAGCTGAAACCAGTTATTGCTACATTGACTAGACTATTTGATGAAACATCTAAAGCTATGGGTGGATCACAAGTTAAAAAACGTGAAATCGAAGACAACTCAAGAAAGATCGGAACACTATTTGCAAAACTCAATTCTGGGGATATATCTCCAAACGTTTCATCAAAACTCATTCAGCTTTGCAGTGCACTTGATAGCGGTGATTTTGCCACTGCGATGCACCTTCAGGTATTATTAATTCCTCATATAATTAGGGATGCTACTTAACCCTGCTTGGTGCAATGACTTACCTATGAGGGGGCTGGTACCGGAGACATGCTAATATTCTTTTAAGAAGTTACTTTCACTGGTCGACTGTAAAGAATGTCAGCTCAGCATATGATCCTTCTAGTTGTGGGTGTATGTTATTGCTATTCTCTGTATATTTTCTGTATAACCTTCTCTTTGCTGTGGATTGAAGTAATCTCATGCTGAATCTTTCACCTAATCAGAAATACAGCCTTGTTACATGGTCACACTTTCTGTGCTTGAGTTATATAGTTTCTTCGTTCACACTGAATCTGTTCAGACATGAACATAAATGACTAAATGGCTGTTTTTCCCCTTTTGACGTTAGTCATTTTCCGCACTGTGGATTTGATAGATTGCTGAGTATAATTTTTTATTGCTTTTTATCCTAATTATTAATTACTGTTCAATGTTGGCAGGTACTTCTGACAACGAGCGACTGGGACGAGTGCAACTTCTGGCTTGCCGCATTGAAGCGTATGATCAAGACGAGGCAGAATTTCAGAATGTAAACGAGTGCCGCGTTTTGCAGCTAGTTCTGTATACACACACCTTTTCGACTTCTTACAAAAGTTGTTAGTGTTAGCAACTTATGAGGGTTTGTCTGCACAGTAGTGCTATCTTGCTTCTTGTGTTCCCTCCTGCCAATTATACTGAAGCTTGTCGCTTAAAAGTGGTCTGTTGTCTGGGCGATTACTTTTTGATAGTTCTTCGACATTCCTTTGTGAGGATCAGTTCTTGGGTGATGGTGGTTGGATTTCACGAGGATTACTTGTAAGTGGGCATCTAGTTGTTATAGCTGGCCCATTTTGTTTTACCTTATAAGTTAGATTTTACCTGTTTGGACATTGGAAGTACTCTCGATAATTAATACAAGGATATTGGCTTGTTTATTGCATTGGCATGAATAGAAATAAATCATCTCCATCAATCCAGATTTCGAGTTGGCAATAAGCATCGTTTCCGCGTAATACTGGCAATAAGCATCGTTTCCGCGTAATACTGCCATCTCCTCATGACGGGAAAGTCAACGTAGAGCAGATAAATCGGTATTGTTCAGATTTTGAGATGCAATTGGTGGTACCATTCTTTTACAAATGTTTGATGGATCAAAAAAAAGGTGAATATCTGCATTTATATTCTTAGTGAATTTTACGATCCGATCCTTTTCCTTTGTTTTTCCTAAATACTCTGGCAATCATACATTCTTAAAAAGGATATGAATGTGCCTAGATTATCTGAGAAGAATGGGCCTAGATTCCAACCAATTCATCTTTTAAAAAGATCCCAGCCAATTTGACTTTGATATTGAAGCAACACCGTAACGATGATGCGCTGCAGTCAACTCGCGCACTTGCACCACCGCCTTGGCGTAGCTTGCTCTTCCCTATCCACACGCCACGGCCTCGCAATCACATGCCGCGCTTCGCTTCGCTTCGCTGCTCGCCTCGCCTCCCTCTTCAACGCTGTTCCACAAGACTAATATAGTAATATTACTACTAATCAAATGCTTAATTCCACTTCCCACAAACAGCACAGCGCACGCCCCCCTGTGGTCTCAGCATGAGATGATATGCATTGATACCCAGGTTTAGTTAGCATCTGCATCTCACCTCGGATCATCACACCCTCTCTCTCTCCCCCTCTCTGCATGTGCATTGCCAGTTCGATGTAAAGCCAGCTTGCTCTTATCAGTTTTGGATTTTGCTCCCTGGAGCCTGGTTAATTATTTCACTAGTGGTACACACACTTGCGTTAGATTAATTGCACCCAAATTCTCCTGCCTCATGGGATGCCGTAAGCACCATGGCCCTACCATGTCCCATGTTTCTAAGCTTGCCTGCCGGGCTGTTGCTTCTTCACCTCATTAGTTATCCTCCATAATGGTGCACCAGATGGAGGGAACATACGCTGGTTTCTTGCTGGTGTTTGTTCTTGCAACTGATAATATGCTGAACGGTGCAAATGTTGCCAGAAGTGTACACACAGTGAGAGGGCGTCCTGCCATGCTCTTATCTTCTACTGAATCTACATTACGGTGATGGGTCTTATGATCTTATCCAAGATAGTCAGTATCAAGATACTACAAAGAATCGTTTTATATAATATTTCTGTCTGATTAAAGGTAGATATTTTTAATATGAAATTTGTAATATGTTGTATGGATTGAAGGATTTAATATTGATTGATAAATTTAATCTATTTTTTGAAACTTAAGTGGGCTCATTCATATTATTTTCAATACTCCTTATTTTAATTAATATTTTCATAGGATCGTATTAATCGTATGATCAGGATAGATCTGGTAGGATTGTATGAAACTAAATACTAGTAAAAATCATGATACATGAAAATTAGGATACTAGGTTAGGATCGGTATCGTTTCAGCTTGATAGGATGGATTATACTACAATACATATTAGGACATCCTGAACTCAATGCCATGAGCAAAATGATCGATTGTTTCAATTGAGTTACCGTTAGCTGAAGGTGGGCAAAGCTACTGTAAGTACAGGTGCAACTAATTGTACAGTGAAAAATAAACTTGCATGCATGTCTCTTTTCCTGATTGCTCTTTTGGACAGAAATCAAGAGGCCAAAAAGTTTGCTAAAAAGGAAGAATAAGAATCTAGTACTGCCTGCAGACACCAAATAGCCCCCACTAGAACAGAGAAAGCTGCATGGTTGTTTCAACTGTCCAGAGTCCTACTACCTATCCATCCAAGAGCTGGGGACCAAACAGGTCACTGCTATATACTTACTACTAATAACGACTTAAGCATCCCAAGAAACCACCAAATAAACCACTAAATTATTCTGATTCCCCAGCCTATGCATTATTTGCAGTTGATACAATCCAATCCACTCTTCCCAATTCCAAGTCATGTACAGGTCTTACTGATGGCAACATTAGGTCGGCTCTATCTAATTAGGTTCCATTAGACACATCCAAATCCATGAACCAACATACTTATCATCAGCCTATGCCTATTTGATTCACTACATAGATGATACTAATACACCACAATTCTCACTAGTTCTTGCCACAGGGATCAGCTCCAAGCTGTACAGCACTTTAGATTATTAGCTTCAGCTCAACTACCGGTCCCCGGCTGCTCCTACCACAACTGCAGCAGTACTTGGCAGCTGCTACTTAGCTAGCCGCGGCTGAGCAGATGTGTTGTGGTAGCAACAGTACTAATACTAACTAAATGAATATGTTATCTGCAAATGATTTGGAGAATATTTTTTTTCTACCAACTCGGTTGCTTGCAACAAAAGTGCTCCATTGGTGCAATCCTGGATCCCAAAGCAATCACAAGTACTACTTGATTTGCTAACAATATGCAGCTTCATTGTTTGCAATCAGCCGCATACAAAATTTAAATTTTAAAACTTGGTTTTGGAGTTAATTTTAGAGCATTTTCAACGTAGTTTTTTTCAGCATTGCTTTTTAAGTTGCTAAAAATATTTGTATATAAAAGTTTTACTCAAAATTACTTTTTGCCGCTAATAAGCCATTTTGGTATATAGTTAGTTTTTTTTTACAACCGATGGGGGGTGTGTTGTCAGTAATGCACAAGTCATGAACTCTGGATTCAGGCAGTCAGCCTGCCGATGTACAGCACCAGATGGATACCACATCACATGAACATCCACATGCTGCACCCTGGAGAAAATTGTTATTGTAACAGTACTTGGATTTCTCCATGATTCAGTCTAAAGAAATGTTCTGGCATGATCTCTATCTCTCTGACGAGTACTCTCTGAACACCAAGAAAGTCAAGTACTCTTAATTCAGAAGAAAAGAATAATTAAGAGGGTTGTATGGTCAAACATGGCCTGCATGAGACGTACTCCACGGCCTTTAGTTTTGATTCCGTGCAATTTTGACGATGATTAGCAATCGAATTCCACTCCTAGCGTACGCGGCAAAGAAAGGGTTAATTAGATCTCGAGAGATAAGGTCGCAAGCGAAGCAACAAGTACAAGTTTCAAGAACATTTCTGCCACCTTCTGCTGGAGCATGCATGATGATGAATTGATGATTCAGAGCTCTGCTGGATTGCATTGCACCTCAGTTTTGGATACCTGTAAACTGTTGTTTGTTTGTGACTTTTTAAGCAAACGGATAAGCCACTGTTTTTGCGGTGAAACTAATAATTGTGGCCAATGGATTACTTGCAGGAGTTAAAAGTGACCCTTTGCTTAATTATGCTTCCTAAGTTTCACATCCCTTAAGCAAAGCCTATGTATTCTCTAGATCAGTCTACAGTCTACACATAATCATATTAGAATTTTTTGGTGAAATGATCAGTTGGAGAATAATATACCTGTGATTCTTCTGTTAAATATACTCTGAACATGGGAAGCCCCAATTCTATAATGTCTGATGCTTCCCTCACAATAATAAACCCAAGAAATTCCATTCCTTACGTAAACTGGCAACTGTGCCAGTGGATAAGAATCCATGCCCAAACTCCAAAGGATATGCAGAAAGCCAAAAGCCAGGATGCATGTACGAGATGATGATAACGCATGGATAGAAAAGGAGCTGGATCTCCAATCATACACGCCCAATTATTGTTATTTGATTGGTACTGGAGAAAAAAAATTGGAGAAATAAATTACTCATTGATAGGTTTCATACGTGGTAATAACTTTGTTTTTTTAATAGAAAACGCCGCTAACTTTTACATAGCGTTTAAACGTCAATTTTATTCAAAAGTTTAGTGTAAATATAAAAAAATATAATTCACCATTAATGTCCCTTAAACGATAAAGCAAATAAAGAAAATGCCTCATATATATATATATATGATTTTAATAAGATGAATGATTAAACAATATTGTAAAAAATAAATGCCACTTATATATAATTTTCATAAGATGGATGGTTAACGTTCTCTATTAAAATATTAAAATATGGAGTGAGTATACTAGTATTATCTCCATATTAAACGAGAAATCGAACAGTCTTTGTCATGGCCATGCCACAGGTTTTGGCTGTATACATGCACGCTGATTTAACGGTTGAAGAGCCAGTGCTAAGCAGCTAGTCTACGGCTACGCATGGTTCCAGCTGGTTAGCCGGCGTGCAAGGCAAAAATTGATCGAGCAGAGCACCAGAGCGTGTCACGAGTGCCAAGTGCTCACGCAACTCAAGTCATGCACGCCGCCTATGATATGATCCCCCGTTTTAAAATGTTTGACACAGTTGACTTGTTAGTATGTGTTTGACCATTCGTCTTATCTAAAAAAAGTAAGTAATTATTTATTCTTTTTATATCATTTGATTCACTGTTAAATATACTTTCATGTACACATATAGTTTTACACATTTCATAATTTTTTTAATAAGACGAACGGTTAAACATGTGCTAAAAAGTCAACGGTGTCAAACATTTTGAAACGGAGGGAGTACTACTGTAGTGTCCTCGCGCACAATGGTTTAACTAACAGGCACTATCGAAACAAAGCTAATACAAAATTGACCGGCTAGCTTTCTTGAAAAAAGAAAATGACTGGCTTTCACTGGCTAAAAACTGTGAACCATGGTACAATCCAAGTTCCAAACACTACAGCCGCGTATCGTCTCCTTCAGAATGCAAGTACAGGTTACAGAACGTTTTGTCTTTGGTCAAAGTCAAATTACTACTTTAAGTTTGATCAACTTTGTAGAAAAAAATAGTAATATTTACAACACCAACATGGTTTCATTAAATCTATAATTGAATAAATTTTTATAATATATTTATCTTGGGTTAAAAATATTACTATTTTTTTTCTAAACTTAGAATAGTTTGGCTTTGATCAAAGTCAAAAATATCTTATAACCTAAAACGAAAACGAAGGGAGTACATCATAATTTCATAATGATTTTACAAGCAATCTCATGTTTTAAGAAATGGTAAAAAAAATTCTCGCAGTTTAAATTGGCTCTGATCGATTGAGCAAAATAAAGAAAAATCAGCTAAAATAATCTACATGTAAAAGTGTTCCTCTATAATTAGCGATTTCAAAATTAAGTCTGAAAAATATAACATGATAAACAATACCAAAATTAACTATAAAATTAAGATTTAAAGTTTAACTTTTAGCTACGGCGCTGATAAAACCACACACAACATTTTCATCGTAATTATAGGGTTCAGTTCAGTCCACTGATGCTTCAAAGACAGAGAAAGACAGCGCTAGCTAGTGCACGGCCGGCCTAGTGACCACGGGTGGTGATGACAAATTGATAGGAGTACTGTACTAGCCGATAAGTGGTTAACGGCGTCCGGCGTCGGATCCATCACATGATGACCCCATCATTAAGCCCATCCGATACGATACCCCACGCGATCCGTGACACACCTCGTCCCCGTTCCATGCTGCCGCTCGCTCGCCCGCGGCCGCCTCTGTCCCGTCCGCCGCAGTAGCGTGACATCGCATCCTTATCACGCGCCACCGGCACCGCCATTTAGATAGAACCCACTATCAGTCTGACCAGTCAGCCGGCCTCATCTCTCATCTCCTCCAACTTAATTTATCTGCCTGGCCAATGGACGCCACGTCATTCTCTCTCACCCACAAATGATGGAGACCATACTGTGGCATGCATGGCCGGTTTTTTTTAACGACTCGCACAAGATGTTACGAAGTTCATATTGATATTGATAGAATAGAAGAAAGTTATAAGATTACAAACCTGGGAGACCGTAACCTGCATGGCCGGTTTGATTTAGATTATTGCGAATGTTATTGTTGTGCATTACATAATTAATTATAATATAGTAACCGTAACATGCATGACCGGTTTGATTTAGATTATTGCGAATGTTATTGTTGTGCATTACATAATTAATTATAATATAGTAATAAGTTAACTATTTTAGTAAATACACTTAAAAAGGTTTTCATAATAGCTTCAACTTTAACCTTAAGGGTGCAAACATATTGGTCGGTGGGCGTGAGATCTTGATCTATGTGGCCTATGAGTGTTGTGCGCACTTGATTAGTATATGCCATTGCTGATTGAGTAATAGTGAAATCAACTTACAAGGTGTTGTCCCTCTAATTATACCATTTTCGAGATAACCCTTTTATGGGAACGAAAGTGTAAGTGGGGTGCTATGTATAAATATAAGTGAGTCCATCAGTCGGATGTACTGAGCTCCGCGGTTTTGGAGTGCTGGCTCTTATAGTGGGGTAAGAGACACATCATGAGTATTTGAAGAAATAAAACTCATAATTTTGCGGACCAAGGTATGTAAGAGGAGAAAGGTGATTAATAAGTTATGTAAGAAATACAAAAAAAACTTATTGGTAAGTCAGAGGAGAAAACTGAACATATTAATATAAGTGATGTAAGAAATACACAAAAAATATTTTTAAAGTGTGGAATGAATAATTCTTTTTAATAGTCTGGTGAATAAGCTGAAAATAACGTGACAATGTGCCACACCAGGGCTGGTTAGTTGGCTGGGTTATGGGCTTCGCCGAGACGCTTATATGACCGTGATTAATTAGTTTGGTGTTGCGTTCGAGCATTAACGACCCTGAACCTGTTGGTGGTGGACCAGTGCAGAGTATATTTGCTCGGACCAGATCAGAGTTGCTTAATTGTGTGTACTGGTGGCAGAATAGACCTGAAAGCATGGTTTTGCTTGGCTTGTTGATTTGGCCCTTTGCAAGGCCAGGTCAAGTAAACCGTGAGCAGCTACTGATGGAATCAGTGCTACCAAATGGTGATCTTTTGCTGTTAGATCACGAGATAATTTGCACCGTATTGAAGGGTCAGGACGCCGGTCTAATTCACTCCAGCTGAGTACTATTCAGATTGCACGACCCGTCAGTCCTGCCTTGCAAAATCAAAGGCTAACAAATAGGTGATTCCAATTCAGCAGCTCATTGTTGTCGTGCCAAGAGGTCTTGGGGGTGAATTTCGCACCTGAATTTCTAGGTACTAGCTGATGCAATTACCAAAGACTTAACTTTCACTGGAGTGAAGTACAAGTAGGAGTGTGGTGGTTAAGTCATGAATATCTGATTTCATCCAATAGAATTTAACTCCTGATATCCATAAATATTACGTACATGTATGTGTGATTTTAATAAAAAATAAGTAAGACTTAAAAATATGTTGTGATTCTGTCTATTTGGACGTGTGTTAAGAGGTGTATTTGCTGGTTTGTGAGTATGGTGTTCGCGTGTCTGTGTGTAATAATAAAAAAATTCAGCAGTGAAGCTTATACTCCCTCCGTCCGAAAAAGAGGATAGACCACATCACATTCTAGATTGATTCTTTTTGAACAGAGGGAGTAAGCACAAAGGGAGTACTACTCTATCCCAAAAAAAGAGAGCAAATTCTATGTACGAATCTGAGCACGTATATATATAGATTCGTAATTAGGATTGGATTTTTTTTTTAATCGAGGGGTATGTGTGAGCCAGATTTCATTTCGTCCCATCCCAAAACCGTTGTTTTTTTCACAAAATTCCATGGGAAATTTCCTCCGTACGTACGCGAGGGGAGTGGCGATAACGTACAACAGTTGGTATTTGAGCTGCAAGCACGAGCGATCGCCGGAAGCCAGCGAAGCATCGAAAGGCTCTCCCTCCTAATCTCCTAATCCAGTGGCACACAAGCAAACTCTCATCTTTTTAATCAACTCCATCTCTAATTCTTTGCTTGATTCGAGAAGGCACCAGAAACCAACAATGGTGATCGAGATTGAGACTCAAAAGGAAAAAACGAAAAAGAAGAAACAAAAAAGCAGAGAAAAAAGATTTGATAGGGACAATAAGGGCTACACGTATGAACAATTCTCCGTAAAATCGGTGTGAATAAACAGTGACATCATGTGGTTTTTTTTGTATTTGCACGCGCTATTGACAATTCGTAGCCGCGTCCCTATATATATTACCTACATGTCTTTGGCACCAAACTGAAGATACTCTTTTAGAGAAAAAGGAAGATATGTTGCTTTCAAAAATGTGACCATGGTGTTATTGAAGCGTGTACCATAGGTCACCAGCCGATGAACCTTTTACCAGATCATTTCAACTCTACCCCCCTAAATAAACATTTTTTTCCTCTGAATTTTGGAGGCTGTCCAATGTAAAAAAGGCGACGGTCTAGACACGCCAACAGGGGCAGTGACACACTAACTAACAACCAGAGAAGGCAATGCAAAATATGCAATGTATTATGCATGACAATATTTAAGTTAAACCTTAGAAATATAAATCATGAATAACTCTCAAGTTGTTGAGTTTGAAGATGTAAAAATTATATGAATAAATTTGTCTTGAAAAATACTTTTATAAAAGTATACATATATCACTTTTCAATAAATATTTTTATAGAAATAAGTAGTCAAAGTTGTGTTTTGGAGACCGTGTCGCTGTTCTAAACGACTTATTTTACGAGTACGGAGGGAGTAAGCTACAGGGGTCAAGGGCTCAAGGCGATGCGTCGCCGTCAGATCACTGCCATGATCTTTGGGCTGTTGTGCTAGTCCTTGTCTGCTTTTCACCACAAGCTTCTTTGCCCCTGTCACTCTCACACGCTCACTTACTCCTTAAGCCTGAGCATTCTGGTGCATTTGCATATTTGCATTGCACCATCCAGCTAGCTTCCTTGGGCTAGTTTAGAAAATCTTTCTGATCGCTAGCGCAGCTTCTTCCAAAATCAAAAACTTTCTTAAACAGTTCAGTATTTTCTAAATTCAAAAAAATATTGTAGAATTCATAAAGTAAACTAAAAGTCAGAATTTTGCTTTCTTAGCTTATTCGAAATTATCACTAGATGGATTTCCATCAGGCGTTTCTCAGAATCTAAAGCGACTGACCCAAAGAAACTCTTGGTCTCTATCTACCCTGCTTGGTGTGTGTTGATGGCCTAACCATCAAGACATGAACCAACCCCGTGACACTAACCAACCCTGGTCTTTGATAATCCCTACATTGATTAACAACAATTGATTGATCACCTTAGGTGACATGACGACGAAAAATGATGTTTATTTGTATGGGTTAGTAAGCATCAACTGCTCCTGGGGTTTAACTAATCAAGGTGATCGCTTCACCGGCACTCTGGTGACATCACAATATCGCATGATATGATTTTCAGTGAAAAGAAGTCGTTTTTATGTCATCTCTATCTATACTTTGCATTTTTTTCCAATAAAAATCAGTTGTTTTCCGTTAAGATTGTACTCTGTACGACTCTATAGAAATTTTGTGCGCTAGGGCCCATATGGATTATGGCAATGGAGATTTTCATGATTTTATTTGTCCAAAATGAACCACAAGTACGAAGAAGATGTATCGTGAACACGTGGATATTTATATTGAGTCTTGTAGTATAAGTGGCTTGTATTTGCTCCCTTCTCAAATAAATGTAGTTAGTCAAATCTCAAAACCTTAAATAATTAACTAATATAAAAATATTAGGATTTTACATGGTAAAATGATTTGCATAGATTTATTATGAAAACGATTTTAATATAGTAATATTCTTAATAGTTTTTATCTAAAAAAATAAATATATAGTTATAAAAGGTAATAATGAAACACTTGTATTGGATACTATGTCAATGTCTAAATCGACAAGTAAAACGGAACGGGTAGTAGTAGCAGTTATGGTGAAATCACGTCACTTGCTTAGATAATCCAGAATTTGACTCCTACTTTTATTTCTACGCGTTTGTATTTAATTTTGAATTTGAACTCATGACCTGTGAACTGTAAACCTCAATAGGAATATAGGATGACCTAGTAGGCAGAACTAAGTCAGCATTTTTGTTTTTTTAACCACAAATACTGACTAACATTAACCGGCGTTTTTTTTTTGTGAAGCTATATAGGGATCATAACTTTAAGATCGCCCAAAGCTTAAATTAGTTGGATCTGACAAAAGTGGCACGGATTGCTACTTCGTTTGTCAGCTTCGTAGGATCCATTGATTAATTAGCCTGCGTCAGAAAGTTAGCTCACGAAAAGTGTACTCCATTAGCTAACTTTCCTTTCTCCAAAAGCTCGCATTACAGGACACTTACCAAGTGCTCACAAAGTAGACAAAAAATTTGTTGGTGTTTCGTTTTTTTTCCTCTCTCCTTTTTGGTGTACCTAGTTTCAAACAGGAGTAACATAATTAATTTCAAACAGAAGGAACATATTATTCAGCATACGTGTACACGGCATTTAGTAGATACAGTCATACAGAGTACTACTTGGTTGAGATTAGTCTAGTTGGTATCGTACCTGAAGAATTTGGTACCGGCAAAACTTGGATTGAACTGATGTGTATCTTCCATCCTTCTGAAAGTGTATTATCTTCAAGAAGAGAATTAAGATTGCTTAGTGGTACTGATTAAGCTCGTTCTTAAAGCATTATGCTGTCCAGGTACAATGTGTTTTATTATAGGGATGCTAATGTGATGTTACATAGGATCCGACTTCTGCATTACTGCTAGCTGTGCATGCATGCAGCTCAAACCATGGTCTGAAAGTCTGAAAGACTGAAACTATTCAACGAGTGAATGCATCCATCGTATCTCCTCTTATTTCTTCTGTTTTTGAATGGACCCTAGTTCTTTTTGCCGTCATGGTGTTGGTTTTGAGAAGATGCAATTGGTGGGTTGCTTGGTCAAATCGAACTGAGATGGCTTGGAAACCCCTCAAAAAATAATGTACACATGGACCCATCCCCAATGCTGAAACCACCTTCCAGCCTAGCATTGCCAACTCAAACTAGGAACTCCCCAACCTCACAAACCAAAGGCTATGCCCACACAACACTAGTACTAGAATGCAACAAACAATACTAGCTCAAGGATAGACTAACATATTCCTCTTTTCCATTTTTTTTTGCGAGGAATTGATAAACTGACTTCACTCTCATTATATTTCGTCAATATTATTGGTATTCAAACCAGCCTTTACAAAACCACGTGGTTACCTCATGATTTACCGTGGTAACCATGCACGACCGGTTTTTTAAAACCTCACATTTTTTTTCTTGGTTATCTCCCGATAAACACATGGTTACCGCATTAACTGGGATACCATCAATTAGCGGTGACCCTACTAAATTTGCAAGAAAACTTGATACAAACTTATAAAAAGTGTATTTCGTCAATAACCATCATATGCGTGGCTTGAAACTAAATGGTCTTCAATCAGTTACACAATATAATTTCTTACCAACCGATATAGATAGGGACATGAATGTAAATTAGGCTTCTCCAGAAACACGGAGATGATAACACACGATATATGATTCCGACCGCTAAAAAGACATATAGCACTAAACAGTTATATAACAAAACCATATGGACAGATTTTTCACATTTTGATGCTCTCTACCGATCGATGGTCCCACCAAATATGCTGGAAGATGTTCCATCATCAGTGATGCTTCTTGCTGGCCGGGTTGCTCTAGCATAGCTCAACCTCTAACCGCCACTAGTTTTTTATACTCTTCTCTATAGCCATTTAAGCTCTCTCCCTGCAGCTTCTCACAATCCAAAACCCCAAAACCTTCTCATTTTTTTTGTAGACCAAGCCAAGCTACAGCCAAAGCCAAGCATGGTGCAACAACAGCAGCAGCAGCAGCACAGAATCTACATCCTACAGTTCAGGAAGGGCGAGCAGGATCAGGAGGTCGCATGCAAGGTCTCGACGCCGCCCAAGGCCGGCACCGGCCGCCGTGTCATGTACTACTACCACGACTACGGCGGCGGCGGCGCCGGCAAGAACGGCAAGGCGGCGCAGCCTAGGGCGTTCAGCATGCGCCGCTTCTTTGGGCTGCTGCTGCTGTCGTTCGTCTCGGTTGGGACGCTGTTCGTGGCGCCCGTGTCGTTCTTCTCCTTCGTGCACTCCGACGAGGGTGGCGGTGGCGCGGCCGCGGCGGCGCGGCGTGCGGTGGAGGTCGCCGCGGCGCCGTGCTCTGGCATGGGGAATGATAGCCTTTGCTGTGACCGGACGTCGACGCGGGCGGACATCTGCTTCGCGCGCGGCGACGTGCGGATGCACTCGGCGAGCGCGTCGTTCCAGCTCGTGTCGTCGTCGTCCGGGAACGCGACGGCGGCGGCGGTGGAGGAGGAGAGGATACGGCCGTACACGCGCAAGTGGGAGGCGAACGTCATGGCGACGATCGACGAGGTGCGGCTCCGTCGCGTGCCCGCCGGCGGCGCGGCGCGGTGCGACGTCGTGCACGACGTGCCCGCCGTGGTGTTCTCCACGGGCGGGTACACGGGCAACGTGTACCACGAGTTCAACGACGGGATCCTGCCGCTGTTCGTGACGTCGAACCACCTCCGCCGCCGCGTGGTGTTCGTCATCCTCGAGTACCACGACTGGTGGATGACCAAGTACGGCGACGTCGTGTCCCGCCTCTCGGCGTTCCCGCCGATCGACTTCACCGCCGACCGCCGCGTGCACTGCTTCCCGGAGGTGATCGCCGGCCTGCGCATCCACGGCGAGCTCACCGTCGATCCCGAGAAGACGCCGGAGGGCAAGAGCATCCGCCACTTCCGGACGCTCCTCGACGACGCCTACCGCGGCCGCATCCAGTACCTCGAGCGGCTCGAGCGCCGCGCCGCTCGCAGCCGCAAGCGCCGCGCCGCCGCGGCCAAGCCCACCACCACCTCCATCGCCCTGCCGATCATGGCGCCTCCGGCGAAGCAGGCCTCGCCGTCGCCGCCGGACAGGCCTCGTCTGGTGATCGTGTCGCGCACGGGGTCCCGCGTGATCGAGAACGAGGCGGACGTCGCCGCGCTCGCCGCGGACGTCGGCTTCGACGTGCGCGTGGTCCGCCCCGAGCGCACCACCGAGCTGTGCAAGATATACCGGGAGCTCAACGCCAGCGACGCCATGGTGGGCGTGCACGGCGCCGCCATGACCCACTTCCTCTTCATGCGCCCGGGCAAGGTGTTCGTCCAGGTCGTGCCGCTCGGCACCGACTGGGCCGCCGGCGCCTACTACGGCGAGCCGGCGGCGCGCCTCGGCCTCCGCTACGTCGGCTACAAGATCCTCCCCGAGGAGAGCTCCCTCTCCCGCGAGTACCCCACCGGCGACCCCGTGCTCACCGACCCCGCCGGCGTCGGCAAGCGCGGCTGGGACGTCACCAAGAAGGTCTACCTCGATCGCCAGAACGTCCGCCTCGACCTGCCACGCTTCAGGGAGGTGCTCGTCGGAGCTCACCGGCACTTGGTCGCCGGCAAGCGGCGGCGCCGGCAAAGAGAGAGCCAGTGATCGAGCAATCAATCGATTGATCGTTTGCTTGATTTGACCCGGTTTGGTTAACCAAATTAACTACTCCCATATGCTGCTCTAGCTCTCTCTCTCTCTCTCTCTACACAATTTTTTTTTGCTTTTTTTTTCTTTTCTTGTTGTTACTCAAACACTGACTTGACCTGACAATTCTTTGCATTAGATTGTGAATTGATGTACTTTGTGGTTTTACACGTTTCAGTTCTATGAACTTGATGTGAATATATACTCAATAAAGATATCAAATTACACTGCATCTGTACTTAACAATATCTGAGGTGTGCAAATTTTTTTTGCAATCTTCTGTGGTGATATCTCAGATGGTTTTTAGCATGCAAATTGCAGAGACAAGTTGATGCTTGCAGGACAAGAACTTTGAACAGCTTGCTGACATAGGAGGATCTATCTGAAACTCATGCACGGATCACTACAAATTTTTGGAACTTTGGCAGGTTCAGGCGCGCTGGGATAGAGATGGATGCTAATCCCCGTGTTTCTTATCCTAATTTCCAGCCTGGATTGGGTTTCCGGTTGGTTGAAACATACTAATCAGCTTTTGTTTAGCGTCAATAAAGACTGCTAATTAGTGGCCATAAAGCTATCTACCTCTACCTAAGTACCCATCACACACTTGGACAGCTGCAACACGACGCCACTACACAGTGAGATTTAGTGATCGATAGATATATCCATCGATGCATGATGAACACCTTCACCTACAAGTTCTACTCCAAGAAACGGCTAGCTTTGATCTAATTGCGAATACACTCATCAACCACCAATGTTTTTTCAACTCTGGATGCAAAGTTGAACGGAATATTTTTCTTTTTTTTACTTGCAAGTTAGCAACAACCATACCTAGAATTCTACAAAGCTAATAATAAATTAAAAGAAGTGAGATGGGATATAGATAGTGGTGGCAACGGTCAGTGGAATCTCACCATCAGATAGATAATTCCAAGTTGCAGGCTTGCAGTTGGCGATCACTGTTCCTTATCCTCCTCGTTCTGGAGGCGAAAAAAGGCTATCATGCGTGCTCAATTACCTTACCACTATCTAGTTCAAATACACTAGCACTAGTGAAAATTTAGCTGAAATGATAATTCCAAAGTGTGAGGTTGCCCAAATGACATGGACGTCGAGACAGGGAATATGGTCACTTTGGGGGTACACGCACGTACGCTGAGCCGCTGACTTGAGGTTGAAGGTAGCATCTGCTACGTCTGATTCGAGCCTTCGGTTGTGTGGCTCGATTTGTTGCTGTGAAGACGACGACGTACGTGCGGTATGTGCAGTTTCACTTTCAGTTACCCTCGCAAGAATGCCTTTACTTCTACTGTACCACTACTTGTGCTACGTTTGTTGTGAAACCTTAACTAGGGCCGTGTTTAGTTTTTAAAATTGAAGAGAAGTTTGAGGAAAGTTGGTAGTTTGGAAAAAAAAGTTGGGAGTTTACGTGAGTAGGAAAGTTTTGGATGTGATATAATGTGATGGAAAGTTGGGAGTTTGGGGGAAGTTTGGTGTTAACTAAACATGGCCTAGGAAGAGTATTACTCCCTACGTCCCATAATATAAGGGATTTTGAGTTTTTGCTTACACACTTTGACCACTCGTCTTATTCAAAAAATTTATGCAAATATAAAAAACGAAAAGTTGTGCTTAAAGTACTTTGAAAAGTAAGTCACAAAAAATAAACAGTAATTCCAAAATTTTTTGAATAAGACGAGTAGTCAAACAGTGCAAACAAAAACTCAAAATCCCTTATATTATGGAACGGAGGGAGTACTACATACTCCTTCCGTCCCATAAAAAACCAAACTAATATCAGATGTGACATATTCTAGTACTAAAATCCTGGATATACCTATGTTCAAATTTATTATACTAGAATGTGTCATATCAGTCCTGGTTTTTTTTTTTGGACGGAGGAAGTAGGTTTAAGATGTCTAAAAATTTATTAATTTGTAGTCGCCTAAAATTGAAGTGCTGTGTGATGTGGAATTTTAGTTCATTCTATATGGTTTTACATTATTTTATGTAAGTTCTATTTTTTTAATGCAAGTTTGTAAATTTCTATGAGGCATAAATTTCATTTAATGTACTTTTGAAAATTTTTACATGTTAGAAGAATTTATTTTCAACAACCGGGAAGTGGTATTTAATACTCCTACTAGGGGAATGATGAAAACCATTAGATTGATATCAATCTTTTAAAAATTAGGTGCTTTTTTTTTTGAAACAAGGTGCCTAAAATGTAAACAGACAATAAACGTGTGAAAACTGGAAAAGAAAAGAAAAGGAAGAAAAAGATAATGGGCTAAAAGCCCACGAGCGCTCACTTGTAGAGACGGATGGAAGACCCAGTGCATTAGGCCCACAATGCTCGCAAAGTATTTTCCCCTCCCGCTCCGCTCGTCAAGCACCTCGCAATACGGGAAAAATATGTAGAGTAAAATACATTTTAAATTTTAATGGTAGTTTTTAGATTTTATTTTTGACTAGAAAAAATGCTCGTGTGTTGCTCACTGGCGCTATTGACGATGGTGGTGATTTCAACTCTTGGAGGGTGTTGACGGCTTCGGTGCAAGAAAGAAGACCACCTCAGCTTGTTGTGATGACTAACATGCCTGTGAGCGGACGCAATGTTGACAGTGGGAATGCCTTCACATTGGTAGATCGGTAGAGACCATGGCGAAATCCGGGACGGCGACACCTGTGGGCGCCGTTCTCTTCTTGGAGACGTCTTATTGCGCTTTCCCGTTTTGCCTTGTTTGGATTCTCCGGATGAAAATCTAGTCCACTCTTGGGCTGGCGATGGTGACGTAGCTAGCGTCACATCCTTCTTGAAGGCATCGTTGAGGAAATCCGAGGCAATTTCTAGTTTTGCTCCGCTTTGACACCTAAGGAGGGCCATCGGGAAGTCGGAGCTGCTGCGTTTGAGGCATTCGATGCGCTTGGCAACGATGACCTGTATCCTTGCTTGGTTTCGGGAGGGCTTTTGCTGTTGTCCTCTTGGGAAGTCGAATCTGCTACGCGTTTGCGAGCTCGGCAACAATGACTCATGTAAGATTTCGTCTTTTGCGTTTCGCTATGGTGTGGGGTTTTAAGCTTTTCGATCTACACGGTTTGTCAGTCTAGCTTGCCCTTGTCTCAATGAGTCTAGTGGTCGTAACGTAAGAGCTGCCGTGTTGACGGGGCGCGACGTGTGGCAACGATGATATGAGCCTAGTTGAGTTGTGCGGCGCGGTTTTGATTGTTGCCCTAACCCTGGTGTTTCCTGGTGAAGTTGGAGTTGCCCAATCGGTGTTGGTGTGATGACGACAACACCATAGCTGTGTCAGTGTGTGGGGGCCGTATGTTTGTCTAGTTTGTGCCTTGTTAGCAGCTTTGGTTGGGTGTTGAGTTCTGCTGTCCTGTTCTCATTGTCGTGGTAGCTTAGATTAGTTGGTGGTGTTGTGTGACAGTTACGGTTTTTCTCAATTTTCCCTAATTAACTGTGTATTGTAAGGTTTGGTCCCGTTCTCTTTAAAATGGAGCACAATCTTCTTTATATAAAACGTCGGCAAAGGCTTGACAATTAAAAAAAAAATTGCATGGATCTCCCATCCACCTAGAAACTGGTGAGTTCAGCCTTCAGCCCAAATTTTCTTCAGTATCCATTTAGGCCCACAAACGCATGAGTATTTGCCTCAGGCCCAAAATTTTATGAGAATTGGCCTTGCGGTCAGAAACACGTTAAAATAACTGATTTGTCCAATATTTCTTGATAATAAACCTTGGACATAAACGACGCACACATTTTAGATCAGGCAAAAAAACATCAATTTTAACCAAAGGCAAAAAATTATACCAAAAGGGCGTGTATGTTAGCCTTCCACACAAGAAAATCATGGTTTATCCTTTATTCCAGAAGATCCAGAAATTTTGCCATTATAGCAGAAACAGATGAGTATTAGCCTTGGCTCAAAAAATTTCAAGACCAGTGAGCATTCCATCCTAAATTTCGTGACCATTAGCCTTGGGGTCAATACATTAGATTTCTGCTCAAGATTTATTGATTATTAATCTTGTTGTGCACTTGTGCTAAAAATGCACAAATTTAGACTCGGTATAAAACATGATATTTTTTCCTTTGGCCTAAACTTTTTGGTGCTAACCTAGAGCCTAAACATGCATAAATTGTAGCCTCTTACGCAGAATTTCATGATTATTAACGTTGGGGTAAAAATTGCATGGATCTGCCATCAGCCTAGAAACAGGTGAGCGTTGGCGTTCAAACCAAATTTTACATTCGGCACAAAAATTCATTAGAAGCCTTTGATGCATATTAACATAGGCACTCTGTCCAATTTTTCATGATTATTCACCTTGTACATAAAAATAGATAAATTTGGACTCTGCCGAAAACACATGGATTTTAACCATCAGCCAAAATTTTAGCCCCCAAAAACGCATGTACTTTCTCTGTTTCATATTATAAATCGCTTTAACTTTTTCTTAGCATGTACTTCCTTTGTTTCATATTATAAATCGCTTTAACTTTTTCTTAGTTAAGCTTTAAGTTCATAAAAAAAATATATAGTAACATTTTTAATACAAAACAATCATATTTAATGTTACAACTAATGAAATTAATTTAGTATTGTAGAGGTTGCTAAAATTTTCTATAAAACGACAGAGGTAGAATTGCCCTTCTGCACAAGAAAACCATGGTTCGTCCACCATTAAGAAAACACAAATGCCACCCCAAGCACATGGCCCTGTTCTTTTCTCCAACAAAAGTTGGATTAAATTTTGAATACTCGTGGCACGCTTTTCAAACTGCTAAACGTTACGTTTTGTGCGAAAACTTTATATATGAAAGTTGTTCTAAAATATCATATTATTCTATTTTTCAAGTTTGAAATAACTAAAACTCAATTAATCACGTGTTATTATAATCTTATTTTACGTAAAATATTTAATCTTTATCTTCGTCTTTCAGCACATTCATGCTACCTTTGTTGGCGACCCTGGTACGATAAAAGCGGCTCATAAACGGCGCATTCATTAGGGACAGACAGGTGGAGTAGGAGAAAGAAAGGGGGCCATACACCACACCACAGCTCAAAAGCCAAGTCCTCCTCGGCTCGCCGCTCGCGGCGCCTCCCTCTCCTTTTCCGTCTCCTACTCCACTCCAATCCCTCTCCGGACTCGGTCTCTCTCCCCCACTCTTTTTCAGTTTTTCCCCACCAAACTCGCCTCGCCCTCCTCTCTTCCTTCTTCTTCTTCCTCCTCCGAGTACCAGAGCGCACGAAACCCCTCTCGAATTCTCCGCTCTCCTCCCGCCGGTGACCCCATCCGACCGATCGCAAGCCATGGCCGCCGCCGCCGCCGACTCCGCCGATCCCGTCATCACCACCGCCACCTGCGCGCACTGGTAACCTTCCGGTCTCCCGCTACCAGTAGTAATCTGTCATCTGCCATTCTGCTGACTGCTGCTTGTTTGTTTGCTGCGTGCTGGGTAGAGGAGCTATGTAGCAATCCCCTAGGACTTGGCTTTCTTCTTCTATAGGGCATTTTTTTTTCAGGCTATGGTTTACAGCTACAGCTACTATGGGAGAAGGCAGTGTTTAGGGTTCTTGGTTACCAAGCTGGTATTTTTACTGTATAAGTGACATCTCTAGTCTGTACCTGATATCATGGTTGCTTTGCATTCTCAGTAAGGCCTTTGTCTAATTCTCTAATGATCCGGGAAGGAAAACTGGAAAACCCCCTGACAGTCAATTTCATGTACATCAGCCCGGCGAAAAAAAAAAAAAACGATTACATGTACATTGGCCCGGGTGAAAAAAAAAACAATTTGATGTACATTACTAATTTTTGTATATGCGCACGCGTGTACATAACTGGGCCAATTTTTTATCCAACTTGTGCTTGTTAACTTGTAGTAGTGTGTTTGACATGGTGTTTGGAAGCATTTTACCTGGATGATTGACATGGTTCTCCTCAAATTCTTCAGCCATCGAGAAATTCCATCTCCAAACATCGCGCTGCATTCTGCACACTGCGCTCGCAACCTTCAAAAGTGTGAACATTGTGGGTATATGGTTCCAAAGAAGCTAATGGATGAACACTATGATGAAAACCATGCTCCAGTATGTCTCCTAATCTAAATCTTAGCCAGAGTATTGTTTTAGCTCTTCAGAATATCTTCACTGCAACAATGTTCTTTCGATAGTCGATAATTTCTGTATTACAGATTTAATCTATACTGTCATATTATGAATGCAGATGATTTGCTCACTTTGCCAAAAAACTGTACAACGTGAGCTATGGGATCTTCATAAAGGCTTACAATGCCCACAAAGGATGCTTGCATGCCAATATTGTGACTTTGAACTACCTGCAGCTGATATTTATGAGCATCAGGTATAGTTGTGTTTCGCATCAGAAGTTACTATTCTGCAAACCAAACAACCATCCAATCTTCTTTAGAACATCACTTTTCTAATTATACTAGTCACTTGGTACAGGACGTGTGTGGGAATCGAACAGAATATTGTCAGCCTTGCAGGAAGTATGTCAGACTGCGGGAACAGATTGGACACGACATCCAGTTCCATTCCCAACCCATTGTTGCTTCAGAATCTTCAAGGTAAAAGCATGCTTCTAAATTATGCATTCTATTCATTTAAGTTGACATGGTTCAATATAACTTTCAGTTAGATTAGCATTCTTTACCAGCAAAATTAGTCACTGATACTTCGTTTGTAGAAACTGGTAGATATAGTAAGGAAGTTTAGCTTACCTTGTGATAGTTTAAATTTCAGTGACAGAAGCACGCTGGAAGAAGAAGAGAGTTATCCAGCAGAAGAACAACCAGTACGACCCAAGCACACTCATGGCTTACAACGCAAGCAATTTCTTGTCACAATTGTGATAGCTGGAATTTCAATTCTGGTTGGATCAGTTCTGCTAAAAAAGGGGTGGTTATCATGATATTTCCAACATAAACATGAATTTGCCTTCTTAATGTGCAAATTCCTTCGTAGCCTATGGGCAGGGCAGAGATCCTTGAACTACAGTTTGAAGTCATTGTAGGAATGACCTGACTGATATGTTTTTTTTTACCAGAAGGTATTTCTACATGCTGGCAGCTGGTAATCTATGTAAAAATGTTATTTACAAGTACGAGGCTTACTTTTACAAGGGATCAATGCCATCTGTTTTGTTGTTGTCTTGTTGATATGTTTGTTACAGAGATGCTAGTTATTTGATTGTGGATTGTAACAACTTACCTTTCAACTGCTATAATATTTGAACGTCTCCAATGGAAGGGGTAGTGCATGGAAGCGAAACAAGTGCTTATTGCACATATGATTTTTATTCAATAAGCGTAGCAAAATATACGGTGCCCATGCTAGAATGGGATGCTATGTCATCCTACAAACAGAGCTAATTTAGGGGAGATACAAACCAAGTTTTCTGGATGTATCTAGCAGTTAACGTTAAATAATGTCAATCCTAATATAGTAGAGACAAGTGGCAGCTATAAACAACCACAATATATATTTATCTTTCTTGTTGGAATGAAACATGTTTGCCTGCATTTTCAGCTATTGACAGTTGCTTTTCTTCAATTTACTTGCGGTGAATAGTCTGTAGTTGATTGGTTCCATATCACTGATTATACCGAACTGCTTGTTGTAGAAGCCCCATAGCTCGCACCTGTTTCATCAAGGAATTTTGTCAGCATATCAGACACATGTCAACCTAAATACCACGGTGTATCAGAAAGGACGTACCAGTATGCCAAGAACTGAAACGGGGCATACTTGCCGTAGATATTATCCAATTCCTTCTGAACAGAACTGATGGTGCTTGCTCTCTTGTGAAACTGCAGCAAATTTCAGGCAATACATGAACATGACATATTGAAACCTATCAACCTTAGAAATCTCAAAGCAAGATACTAGGAGAAAATATACCTGCTTTAAATGCCTAATTGTCTCAGTGTCAGCTGGGATCATGTGGAAAAATCCCATACACATGAGCACATTGGCACGAGTGAAAGGGCCAAATCCGGATATTGTGGATAACTCTTCATTCAGTCTATCATAGGTGGATGGGGTAGTTGATAGGCCTTCTACAGTTGGTACAGACATTTTGCGTATTTCTTCAAGCTTTTGTAGGCATATCTTTCCTTCTACAATGCTTCGTGCAAGCATTACAATTCGTCTGGCTCGATATCCAAGATTACAACGCTTCGCCAAAAAGTCCTCATCAAGGTTTGCCAATTCTTCCGGTGTAGGAAAATCTCCACCACAATCTTCCAAGCAAAGTTCATATCGCAATTTAAGCTCTGAATGATCCAATGAGACCTCAGATGTGTTGCCTGTTTCATTTGCAGATGAAGGCAAGCTAAATAAGTTTTCGTTTGCTGTGTTAGTTGCTAGATTTGGATCCTCCAGGCATACCATCTTATCCTCGTTAAATTTTGTTTCTAGCTTCACACGGACATTCCGCTTATTGCTGCGCTTCCTTTTACATTCCCTGATTGGAGGCGTCCTTGACTGAAAATTTTCGGTGCTAGATGAAGATCTTAGCTCCAACTGAAGCTCACACAGTGCAGTAGACATTGACAAGGTCCTTGTCCATCTGCAGTTGAACAGCACGGTTGAATGCAGCTACAAATACTAGAAAACAATGCACTTCTGATGCATCAAATTTCATCAATGTTCTTTACAATTCTTAAACAGTCCAGCTATACCCACTCATTCATTTGCACAGCACTTATTTCGGAACTCTTCTTATCCTATCTTCTTTTTATCTAAGAAATGTTTCAGGCAAATAGTAGTAGCAAATATTCCTAGCGAAGCAAAACATGAGGCTGATAACCAGTTCTTATCAACTGTGAACACGATATAAATTAGTGACTGCATTGCAACAATACCACCGTATAGGATCTGTTAATTTTTAATCTAATTGTCAGCACACATGAAAGATAGCAATCCCTAAATATCGCGACATGTTTGTATCAGAATTTCGCATAGATGTACTAGCAAGGGAAGGCAAGGGGAGAGGAAGACTGAACTGGCAATTGCAGAGGAGGATGCACTTGATCATGTCCTCGAAGAGCGTGGGCGAGCGGAAGATGCGCCCGAACCCCACCTCCCTCGCCACGGCGTGCATCGCCTGGAACTCCGCCACGGCCCTCCCGTCCTCCTCATCCAGCCGCAGCATCCGCCGCACTTGCTCCTGCCAACCAAACCAACGAATCAATCAATCACAATCAGCAGGGCGCGAACACGAAAAACGGATGCTAAACCCATACCAAACACTTACGAGGATGGAGGTCTGGTCGAGCGGGGAGAGGGCGTCGTCGTCGGGCGCGCCGAGGACGGAGACGAGGAGGGCGTCGGAGGGGCGCGCGGGGTGGCGGGAGACGCGGACGGCGACGGAGGCGGCGCGGTCGGAGGCGAGGCGGAGCGGGCGCACCAGCGCGCGCGACGCGGGGTCCCAGCGGTTGGGCGCCATCATGAACAGCCCGTGGCTGCACACCGCCGCCTCCAGGTCGAACGGGGCGGCGCCGGGGTAGGGCGGCGCGCCGCCTAGCGGGAGCTCCAGCTCCAGCTCCACGGCCACGCGGCGCGCGGCGGCGGGGTCGCCGCCTTCCGGGGACGGCATGGGCGGTGATTGGGGAGGTGGGGATCGGGGCGTGGTCGAGTGATCGAGGCAGCAACGGGGGTTCGCATCGTCTGACTACTGTAGCGATCAATCCTGTGCATTCGCGTTTGATCCAACGGCTGGAAATGAAGAATGGCGGAGAGTGCTGTAGCTCTCTGCCATTCTAGTTGCCATGGCAGAGTATACGTTCCCAGCAACGGGCGGGTCGCTGTTTCGCTCTTGTGAAGAAGCTAATGGGAAACCATTTTATGAGCAGTAGCAGGATTGATTGGGCAATGTGCAGTGCGGTTGAAGGCGGTTTGGGCTTTTGGTTTTTGGATATACATCTATTTGTGTCTAGTTCTGTAGTTCACGCTAAAATTAGAAGTTTGGTTGAAATTGGAACGATGTGATAGAAAAGTTGAAAGTTTATGTGTATAGGAAAGTTTTGATGTGATGGAAAAGTTGGAAGTTTGAAAAAAAAGTTTGGAACTAAACAAAGGCTTAGAGATTTGGCTGAGCTTTCTTGAATATGTTGAATTGGAGATATTTGGGTTGAAATGTACTACTAAGTAGTTTGTATGTGAAATTAAAGTAAACTAGTGTTGTGTTTAGTTCCATCCAAAGTTTGGATTTTGGTTGAAATTGGAAATGATGTGACTGAAAAGTTGTGTGTGTATGACAGGTTGATGTGATGGGAAAATGCAAAGTTTGGAGGCAAACTTTGGATCTAAACACACCCTAGATTGAGTTATTTTGAAATAAATAATGAAACTGATGTCATCTGATATTTAACTTATACATCCGTTTGTAAAATTCTTATAGTATCGTCTTGTAACTTAAACAAGTCTGTTTTGTATAGTTTTAACTTTATCTTCATCTCTCCTAGAGTTGGAGTTTAACCAAATAGTTTTGGTTTCACTCAAAAAGGGAGTAGAGCAGGTCGAAGTTTTCTCATAGAATAAATTATGAATGTGAAGTGAGGTTCACGGTACTCTATAATTTTACTCTAGATTCAACTCTTGGCATTAAATTTAGAAACTATATTCTATATCGTTATTGGAGTTAAATTTAGAAGTTAAAGCATGCTAAACAGGCCATAGAAAGCACCAATGCTTTTATAATTAGAAGATTCATAATAATAGAATTTCCTACACATATAATGTTTACGGAATCGTTATACTTCTGTTGACAGAAAATACATCCCCAAATCTTGCAGATTTTGGACCACTAGATGTGCTTCACGATTCGTGCTCCAGTTGCATCTTCTCCAACTCCGGCGACTTCTTCTTCTTCGGCGATGGCGACAACCCAAACTCCGGCAAAGGGCCGACGAATTAGGGTCCCGGGGTGGGGGTGGGAGGAAGAGGGAGGAGTTCGCCGGCTTTAGAGGGATGGCCGTGGGAGGCGGTGGATCGGGCAGGCGGCAAGGCGGCTGTACCGCTGCCGAAGCGCGGGGTCGAGAGCGGGCGGTGGGCAGGGGCAAGCGGAAAGAGTGTTAGAAGGAGGCAGCCGGTGGTGGCGCCCCACCGCTGGCGACGGGGAAGACGGCGGCACGGGATAGCTCGTCGCCACCGGCTTGTGGAAAAGGAGAGGAGAGGGAGAGGGGGCCGGCTGGGGGGGCCTCGCCGGCGCCGTTGACACCTTTCAGCCAGTCGGCGAGGCCGGGTGGCGGCACGGTGGGGCGGCAGCGGCGGCGGTGTAGGAGGCGCGCGGTGCTGAGAGGAGGGGAGCGCTCGAGTGACTTGTGTGGTGGCAGGGAGGAAAAAGGAAAACTGGTTAGGGTTTTGTGGACATTGCACGAATCTCAAATCAATCCAATGTTCTGAAATTCACAAGATATTAGGAGGGATTTTCTGTCAAATGAGGAATAGACAGTTGGTTTATTATTCCAAACACAAAAAAGAAATTTACAGTTACTAGTAGGGTGCCCGTGCGTTGCTACAGGAAATTTTGATCACGGGAAAAAAAAATCTGGCAATCCAAAAGAAACTACGAGTTGCGGCGGCCGGTTGTGTGCGGGCCGGCGGGTGGGCGGCGATTTTCGCGTATTTTTTAAATTTTTTTTGCTCTTCGATTAAATCTTCATTGCCCAATCATTTTTCAAAGAAATCCAGTGATGGGATGCAATCTTCGAACTTACATTTTTTAGCACAGCAGATCAATATTGACAAGGCAGGAAGAAAGTGACTCAAATTTTGAGCTATCATTGTGTTGTTATATTTTGATAGTATCTGTCCAGCCAGATGGTTTATATCGGGAACAAAGATCTTCCTATTAAACTTTGAGGAAAAACTTTTTAAGAAATTTTGCGATTAACAACTAACAAACGCTCAAATTCTATTATTTTGCAGAATCTGCCTCTAGTTGAGCTGGTCTCCGGCAGACATACAATCTCAAGGCAATAAGTATACATGTTGTAAATTAAAATTAAAATTTCTAGGTGTAACAAAATTATCACCCTTTTGTATCCTGAGGTTTATTCACATGCAAAGCACCGGAGTTCAATAAACCATGAAGATGCTTCTTTTTTTACTTTAGAAGTTGTTTCTAACCTAGCTATTAAGTTCAATATGTCACTATGGTCCTAAACTGATCAGTCCTGAAGTTGTTCTTTACACTCCAGCAATGCTTATAGATGTCTAGTTGATTACAACTTGATTTTTACTCCACAAATTTGGCATCCATGAAAATGTCCTCTCTAATTGAGCTATATTAATTGATCATTTGTAGTTGGGGATAGAAACTTTAGAAAAGTTGATTGAATACCCAGAATTTGTGGGGACTACACCCACATGCTTTGCAAATCAATTCTATCTGCTATAGTGTTTCCAAACATGTATTGTATATTTCCAAAGTACCAATAGAACAGTACCAATCAGACCAAATGACAAAATGAACCGTGAAAAAACTGATACTAAAACTAATTTACATAGAAAGGCTTCTTAGTTTTCAATCACAGAAAATGAATGCCTGTCTTAGTAATGCAAACTCCCTAATCATCTAATTTCACTGAAAGGTAGTTGGCATTGAAGTGGCATATGGCACAAAAGGCCAATCAGGATCATCAGAGGATGGCCTCCTGATTACCTTGTTTGCATCCCAACAGTATACCAAAGGCATAGAACATATGGATCTCTGTCTATAGGCAAATCCCCCTATGTTATCCCTGTCAGCTGCTTCAAATAAAACAGCTATATCAGTCCTGTATTATGTGCCATTTTTGCACATGATTTAGCTGATTTTGGAGTTCTCCAGACAGTAAAATTTATAAACTTGACAAAGTAAGAAACCCCAGGCATCTGAAACTAAAACTAAATTATATACCATTATTAAGAAAGGAGGAATGTGATCACAAAACAAAACACAGAACAAGGAGGAATGCGATCAGTTTACCTAGAGCAGCAGGCTAAGTTAGTGTCAGATGCGATGCAAAGGGCAAAGTTGAGAATTTTTTTTTAAAAGTAAAACAGCAAGAGCACTTTATGTGTCACCTTGCTTTATATGGCTTCGTCTGAACTTTGGTTACCTAAATTGCACCGCATATGCACTTTTCTACACAATTAGGTTGAGCAAAAGCTTTCAGACCTAAACAAATCAGAAACTACACAAGTATTCACAAGCAGAGTTCAGTTGTTCAGTAATCTATCTCCAAGAGTCAGTTGTTCAGGTGTTGCAGTCCAAACCTTTTGCAATGATGAGAAATTTGATTAGTTGCATACATTATGATATAGTTATTGTACTTAAAGTCAACCATTCTCCTCAAATTTCATGCACTTTCACAGCTATTACCTGGCAACTTGACAGTCCTTCTGAGAGAGAAGCTCGCAACCTGCAATCTATAATAAGCATCAGAAAATGGGATTGCAATTTGGCATTTCAAAGTTCACACTTATAGTATATATATACTCCCCCCATCTATCTTTGATCAGAATATAACTTTGTGACCAGTTGTATTGCCTGTGATTTCTGAAGGATGCAACAGAGCACTATATCACCCTCAATGGAATTTTTGGAGCAGAGAATACAGTCTGCCAAAAAGAGAAGAACAAAGACAAATTAGAAGAAAGGATGCAACAGAGCACTATATCACCTTCAATGGGATTTTAGGATAATACAGTCTGCCAAAAAGAGAAGAACAAAGACAAATTAGAAGAAAGGATGCAACAGAGCACTATATCACCTTCAATGGGATTTTTGGAGCAGAGAATACAGTCTGCCAAAAAGAAAAGAACAAAGACAAATTAGAACAAGATTGAATCCCCAAGCCAACACAATACACGTGAACTCTTGGTAGATGAAGAAACCGCTAAAAGTGGAAATTGTATCTCGTCGATGCAGCCATATCCAGGGGGAGCTCACGAATCCTACGGTGGCGGCGTCGAGAGGCGAGGCGGCAGGATGAGGAGGCGACACAATGGGGGAGTGATGGCTGAACAAATGCATAATAGCCATTGATAATTTAATATCAGGATTATTTACATTATGCTGGAGACGGCAATCGAATGAGAAGTCCATTTATATAATAAATTTTGCGTCACACATGCACATAATCTGATTTCAATTATCTCACTGATGTATGCTATTAGTGGGAGAGAGGAAAATTAAGCTGCAAGTATATATAAGCAAAAAGAAAACTGCTCACCGAGTCCAGGCAGACTTGTCGTAGGCCATGTGTGTAGGCAGATCGAGTAGTCGATCAGGGGAAAGGGCGGCGAGGCCTTCCCGGCGTTCGGCTGTGGAGGCTGAATGTTTTGCCTCTAGCTTCTTATCAAAAATTACAACGAAGATCCCGATCGACCGGCGTAGGGGAAGGCGATGTGGGAGGAGACCGATGGCTGTGTGATTTGGGAGGTCGCCCAGAAGCTGGCGTCGGCGATCTGGAGGCGGAAATCGGCGGCGGCACGATGACGACCTCAATGGCGATACGAGGCGGCGCGATGACAGGTCGCCGCCGGCGTCGCGAGTCGATCTAGTGGCGGAGATCGAAGGCGGCGTCGACGGCGTTGCGAGCCGCGGGCGACGATGGCGATCTCGAGGAGTAGTAGTCGCCGACGGAGGTGGGTGGGCAGCGCGCGTGGCAGGTGTGCAGAGGAGTCGGCGTCGGCGGCGGGGAGGAGAAGGAGTAGGAGTAGACCCGTCGGCGTGATCTGGAGCGGAGTCGACGGCGGCGGCGTTGGCGGCGGTTGCGGGTGGGCAGCGGCAGCGTCGCCGGCTGGGGCGATTGGGCGAGGTGAGGAGGCGACGTAGGGAGGAGGGCGAAGGACGCGGATCCGAGAGAGGAGCGAGCGTGGGGAGGAGATCGGTCGTTGGATACTTGGATATGCAAATTGGATGGTTGAGATTACGCGTGTCTGTCAGATGCGTCTGCTATGTCAGGAATCAAGACCACCACTACGGATTTTTTAAGTAGTAGAGATATATTAAACTCTATCACATATCGGGAGATACGACAAGTTATGGCAGATCATAGGTATAACAAGTTACTAGTCCATACATCAGGATTCCTAAAATTATATGAATTTATGAGAAATTACGTAATGCTATTCTCAACCATGCAACCTGGAAATTCTTGACCGAAGAATGAGACAGGTCGATGAAAGCTCAACGCCTGAAGGGACAACGGTGAGGTGGGGGCACAACCAAAGGGTTGGAAACGGGAGAACCAACCACCTCTCGCCCAGCCGCGACACCGCACCCCGCTCGCACTCGCACGTACGCGAAGGAAGGAAGAACCCACACTACCCACCCCCTATCCACCCACCCATCCTCTCCCTCTCCTCTACTCCACACCCTCCGCTTCTCCACTCCTCCCTCGCGATGGCGGTCACGCGCCTCGCCGTGGCCGCCGCCCTCTCGGCCGCGCCGCCGTCCTCCCGCCGCCGCAGGGCCTTCTTCCATCACTCCTGCCGCCCGCTCCCTTCGTCGGCGGCGGCGGCGGCCAAGGCGTTGCGCGCGTCGGCTGCCCCCGCCGTCGACGAGGAGGCCCCCGCATCCCCGCCTCCATCAGGTGCTCGCGCCCTCGCTCTCTATTGCTCCAGATTTTTTTTTAGATTGGACTGTTCCGAGTGTTCAGTCCGCGCCGTGCGAGCTCGCTTGCATTTGATCTGATGCTGTCCATGGAGCTGAAGACGATGATTTGCTGTTCGTGCAGATCTTGGCAAGGGAGTGGAGAACTTGGTGATCATAGGCTCTGGCCCGGCGGGGTACACTGCCGCGATTTACGCCGCTCGGGCGAACCTCAAGCCCGTCGTGTTCGAAGGCTACCAGGTTGGTGGCGTTCCTGGTGGGCAGCTGATGACCACCACCGAGGTGGAGAATTTCCCTGGGTTTCCGGATGGCGTCACTGGGCCTGATCTCATGGACAAGTAAACATTGCTCATTTCTTCGCATGTTTTTGAGTTTATCTGTTGTTAATGTTGTGTTCACTTGCTCATATCGGGCCATGGATTAAATCAGAATGCGGAAGCAAGCGGAGCGGTGGGGTGCTGAGCTTCACCAGGAGGATGTTGAGTTTGTGAATGTGAAGAGCAGACCGTTTGTTATTCGTAGCAGTGATCGTGAGGTTAGCATCATTGTGCTCTTCCTCCTTTTCGAGTTATGAACTTTCCACTTTTCACAAGGTGTCATTGTTGGTTTATGGTAATACAATGTTCTTGACAATAGCGATTTTCACAATGTTCTTGACAAAAGTATTAGTATGATTTAAACAAAACTATCATCCATTTAATTAAGAATATAACAAAGGAGAGCTGGTCAAGTTGTGTCGGGAAAGCATATCAGTATACAATTTTTATATGGTTTACTTAATTAGCTCTTACAATATTTGCCTAGTCATGTGCTTTAGTTCTTTAGTTGTGCTGTAACTTCTCTTTCTATAAGTATAATGACCAGTTTGATATAGCATATAGCAGTCGTCTGTTATAATTAATAGTGCACAGAACTACTTTGGACAAATGTTTTTGCTGCGCTCATCCCAGTGAGTGTCCTATACAGGTGAAATGCCATAGTGTAATCATTGCTACTGGTGCTGCTGCTAAGCGCCTTCGATTACCTCGTGAAGATGAATTTTGGAGTAGAGGTATCAGTGCATGTGCAATATGTGATGGAGCATCCCCACTATTTAAGGGTCAAGTTCTTGCAGTTGTTGGAGGTGGTGATACAGCTACAGAGGAAGCTATATATTTGACCAAATATGCACGTCACGTTCATTTACTTGTTCGAAAGGATCAGCTACGAGCATCCAAAGCTATGCAGGACCGGTAAGGAACTTTCAAGTCCTATCCCTAGTAAATGTATATATTTACCTTCAAGTGACTACTCTGTTCATGTAAATATCTTGCCCATGAATTGTTAGGATCTCACTTGTTTTGTGCATTCACATTGTTAATAGCTTAAATGACTCATAACACAGGAGGATTGCTTTTCTCTTTTCAGCTGTAGTGTTTTTTTATTTATTTTTATAACACATTTACCTTTTGGATCTGGCTTACAAGGGCATAGTTATATGCTGGGCTACAGCTTTCAAATGGTGTTTACAATTAGCTCCTGACATGGATTAAGCAACCTTGCAGCTTGACTCACTTTTAGCATCTCACCAAGTTAGACAGTGGAAATTGTAAAATTGGTTTATATTTAGGAGAAACCTGAGGACAAACACTTTGGGCCTGTTTGGCTGCACTTAACTTTCCTGTTGTGCAGCCAACACAAACAGTAAGTTGAGTCTGTAGCTGCAGCAGCAACGGCTGCGCACAGTGGCTGTACCAGCCAGCCGAACAGGGCCTTTGGAACTTATCTGTATATTAATTTGTTATGTTCTTTGAAGGATGTAGCTTGTCTTCAGTTGCATAAAATATTAATGAGGTAAAATTTTCAATTCCCTGGATGTTTGGTTAACAGGTTGATTATGGCGAATGTTTCAGAGTACTCAACAATCCCAACATAACAGTACATTTCAATACAGAAGCTGTGGATGTTGTCAGCAATCCCAAAGGCCAGATGTCTGGTATTCAACTGAAGAGAACCGACACGGGAGAGGAATCAGTTCTTGAGGTGAAAGGTCTATTCTATGGCATAGGACACACTCCAAACAGTCAGTTGTTACAAGGTCAAATTGATCTTGACGATGCTGGTTATATTTTGGTTGAAGAAGGCACAGCAAAAACATCAGTTGATGGTGTATTTGCTGCTGGTGATGTGCAGGTAACTCCATCCTTCACTTCATGTATATAACTTCTACATGGCTGTAATGTGTTTCATTCTTGAAATTTGAATATAACCCTGCCACAGTTCATATGTGCCATAATCATTAGCATGTCATGTCTTGGTGGTCTTGTAGCACACCAGCACATCACGTCTTCTTTTATTGAACACTAGCTGGATTGGAATACAAATATGAGTATTCTAGTTTTAATGCCTTTTCAATGTTTATCTGCAGGATCATGAATGGAGGCAAGCCGTTACTGCAGCTGGATCCGGATGTGTAGCCGCTTTGTCGGTGGAAAGATACTTAGTTGCCAACGACCTTCTTGTTGAATTTCACCAGGTACTATCTTGTCTGCAGCATATATTTCTTTATGGTGACTGATGCTTCTGCGAACATTATCTAGCTCAATATTTGTTGTTCCATGGAGGCTAGCTGTTCCACTGTCAAATTTTGTGCCTATGATTACTGGTACACCAGACACTGCAGCAATTTCTGCTGTTGATCTTTTTCCTCTAATTTTAGGGTTTCTAGTTGCCATATACAGCAATTCTGTGCAGACCATGTTGTGCTTTTATTTCATGTATAAAATTTGAGGTTGGACCTTGTCAGCATGTATTGGTATTGTTATGTGTAATCGAGAATATATTTATTCTAGAAATGTGAAAGGATGAAACTAAATCTATTTGTCATTGTATATGTATCGATCAATGCACATTTAGCATTTTTAATTGACCATCTCTAGCAACCGGTCAGGCTTACAAGATACACTTCATCTTTTTATTAAATTACAGCCTGTTCGCGAAGAAAAGGAGAAGGAGATTACAGATAGAGATGTCGAGATGGGCTTTGACATTTCTCACACAAAGCATAGGGGACAGGTACCTAACACATTTGCTTGTACTGTGGCTTCATATTGGTGCAAACATTTATGTGAAAACTGATTTGAGCTTGCTTCCTTTGCAGTATGCACTCCGCAAAGTATATCATGAAAGTCCAAGGCTTGTCTGTGTTCTATATACTTCTCCAACATGTGGTCCTTGCAGAACCTTAAAGCCAATTCTAAGCAAGGTTTGTTCTTGAAATTGAAATTGGGCTCTAGTCGTCACAAGTCATCACTCTAGACAAATAAAATGCCTTGATATACAGCTATCTGATTGGCCCTCCAGTCCATCGATCATTATGCATTCATATTGACAGGCCATGTTAACGTTCATTTCTCTGATCTACCAATATGACCAATCAAGTTCATTTCTCTGATCTACAATATCGAATCATTAAAGAAAATCCATTTCAAGGTGCTAACTTTGTGATGTTCTTGTGGTCTGGACAACACAGGTTTTCAGTGCTTCTTGATAAACCTTGTAGAACTGATATTTATAGTTGCTTGACTAACATTTGATTGCCGCACCATTCTACAGAAGTTCCGTTCTGTTAGTCATGCTTGTGTTAGTTTTGTTGTTAACGTTGCTAGTTGCTACTTGGCACTTGCTAATATTGATATCTTTTTCAGGTTATAGATGAGTACAACGAACACGTTCATTTTGTCGAAATTGACATCGAGGAGGATCCTGAAATAGCAGAAGCTGCAGGCATCATGGGAACACCATGTGTTCAATTTTTTAAAAATAAAGAAATGCTCAGGTTGGCTATCTTGGATTTGTTTATCTGCTACTAGTCTATATAAACATCAGTCACTTCATTGCTGCCTAATTAATATGATGCAATGGAATCCCTTCTGATCGTTTTTAACCTTGGACTATGCAGGACTGTCTCTGGTGTTAAAATGAAGAAGGAATATAGGGAGTTTATCGAGTCAAACAAATGAGCTGAACCCAACATACGATTCAAATTTTAAAGTGTAATAGTCTTCTTTTGCCCATACTGACTATTTCTAGCTGCCACCGTGGTGGCCAATTTTTGGTCAAAAATTTTCAGATGGGCCGGGTGTAGTGCGGTTCAAGAGGAAATTAGCCGGTCGCTCCTATTGAATTCAATCAATGTAACAGAATATATTCTTTTGCTGTACAACAACGTATTGGTCGTTGTCTTGACACCGTGCAAACTCCTCCCTGACAATATATACGTCTTAAAGATTTTGGACAGTGTGTGATCTATATGCTGAACATAATATTCATATGCTTATAGTGAGCTTGCTGGAAAGATACCCTGACATAAAACTATTAAGGCATTGTTTTTGGAACAGGGAAATTTTACATTAAATTTATAGAAAATGGATAGGTTCATGTGAAAATCCAATGAAATTAATATGTTTGAAACGAGCCTTTTCTTTGCGTAGCAGAGCAGAGGATGGTTGTTTGGGAAAGCTTCTGTGGCATTGCAGTTTCTTTCAAAATCTATAACTCTTCTTAAACAGTCACTGTTCACTATATTCTCAGAATCAGAATCTACTACAGAATCTAAAAATGACCAGCTCAAAAAACTATAATTTGAAGATAAAGCTAAAGACTCCAGAAAATAAGTCCGCAGGGCCGGCCGAACACTCAGGAGAACACCACGTTTTTCCAGTCTCATCTCATCCTTACGCGCCGACCGGGCGGCCGACTCCGCCGCCGCCGCCGCTCCAAACCGGCAACCAAAAACGAGCGGCGCACGGCAAAAGCAATCACAAATTCACAATTCACAGCTCACCTCGGCGAGGCGCCAAGCCAAGACGAGACGACGAGTCACGCCACCACGCGTCACCCTTCCGCCGCGCCGGTGCCTCCTCCAGAATCCTCCTCCGTTTTATCCCCACCCAAAACCGGCGAACCACCCGCCCGCCCAATCCCCGCCTCAAATAACCCCCCCTCGCCGTGGCCCCCACCCCCAACAAACTACCAAAAACGAAAAAAAACGTAACAAATCCGCACAGCCACACGCCACGCCACGCCACGGCCACCGCCGCCGCGCGACGCGACGCGAACCCGGAGAAAACGGGGGCGAAGGAATCCGCCACCGCAATGGAGGCCGCGGCCTCCCCGTCGCCGCCCCCTTCCAGGGCGTCGCCGCTGCGGCTCAACCCGGCCGCGTTCCTCCTCCGCACCACCACCACCACCACCACCGTCCAGCCGACCACATCTGCCGACGCGCCCCCGCCCCCGCCGCCGACGCGGCAGACGGCCGGGGTCGACCGGCTCATCTCGTTCCTCTCCTCCCTAATCCCCCGCCGCGGGCAGCGGGCGAAGCAGCCGACCAGCCCCCCTCCCACCGCGGCGGCGGCGGCGGCGATGCGGAGGGCGGCGGAGAGGGAGGCAGAGGCGGAGCGGCAGCTGGTGGGGTGCGCGGTGCCGCTGTTCCGGCCGTACGTGGCGCAGCTGCCGTGGCACGGCGGCGCGCGGGCGTGGCTGTCGCGGATGTTCCCGCGGTACGGGCACTACTGCGGCCCCAACTGGTCGAGCGGGAAGGAGGCCGGGTCCGTGCTCTGGGACCGCCGCCCCGCCGACCACCTCGACTTCTGCTGCTACTGCCACGACATGGCCTACGACACCCACGACCAGGCCCAGCTCCTCCGCGCCGACCTCGCCTTCCTCCGCTGCCTCCAGAGCAGTCGCCAGACCCCCGCCCGCGACGGCATCGCCGCCGCCGCCATCTACCGCTCCATGTGCATCTTCGGTCAGTCACCAATCCAATCCACCCCTTCTTGTTTTTCTTCCCCATTTCTCTGTTGTTCTTCGCCCAAATCATGCGAAGAATGCATCGCATTGCGTTTACGAATGTGAGATGGATCGATGGATGATTGTGCAGGGCTCAAGACGATACTGATACCGTACCGTACGAACCTGGTGCGGCTGCAAACCGGGCCGAATTACGCCGACGCCTTCGCCGATTTCGTCAAGAGGGTCGCCTCGTCGTCGGGGAGGCCGACCGGTGGCAACAAGCAGAGAATGTGAGAGCATTTGTGATCACAATGGCGCAGGATGAATCCAACTAATTGGAATTGGATATTCAGCCATTCAGGTCGTCGTAGTAGTTGTGTATAGCTCAAGTTTTGATTCGAACCCGGCGAGGCGGCGTCGCGGCGAGGGGATTGTTTGTATCCTGTTCTAATGGGTATTAGTTGATGAGAATCTTGGGATCTTCACTGTGAATATAGCTTAGCACATGATTTATTATATCAAAATGTAGCCTCCCTTGATATCAAAATTCAGAATCAATGGATGCAAGTTTCTATTTCTGAACCAAAATGGATGCAAGTTCTATTTCTGAACCAAAATGGATGCAAGTATGCAACAGCAAAGATGGTGGTATGTTAAGGATTTAGCCTAAATTAGAGAGCATATAGGCATAGGAATGTTGTACTAGTATCTGCCAAGGAAAGACATCCAGGCATCCAGCATTCCGGAAGATCTAACTAACTTTAGAGAATTAGAGTTTTGTCCCGATGGGCTTCAGAAATTTACATCATTTCAGTTTCAGTCCTACATATGACATCCTGAATCATCGTAAGTTCGTAACTAAGAAGGCTTTCAGCGATGTATAAATATGCTTGCTGCTATGCGAAGAACGCATGTTGGTTACAGAACAAAGGCTATGTTAAAGCTCTTCGTATTTCATTTGATCGAAGCATTGTTCCGATGGGCTTCATAACTCAGCCCAATTTCCAGGGATCGCTAATCTATCAGACTATACATGAAGACATTTCGTACTAGTAAGGGTATATATAAATGGCATGCACTTATTCATACAGTTTGCACGTATGAGTTAGGATCTAATTTCTCACATAAGCATGTGGAAACAATCTGGGGAAGTAAGTTTGCTTTGCCTTGACAATCGACCAATACAGAAAGAAGCAAGGGATATGAACAATGGCCATGGCGAGGTACCTGCAGAAAAATTAATGGTGTTGTCAGGACAGCAAAGTTCCATGGATGGTATGGATGAACAGATGAGAAAACATACCATAGAGGAGCCCCTGACGATGAAAGGTCAAGAAATGGGTATGGCCACCTGAAGAATATGGAAACATGATTACAACGTTTAGAGGTAAACTCAAAAAACATTTTCTTGTGGCGTGCAACAACACACGAGCGGCACTAAATCTTAATACAAAGATACGCAAGTAAGTATTCCCCAAAAAAACAACACATGAGCCGTTGTTTCAAACTCGCACTCAATATGCACATATCAGTATGCTAGAATAGAAATATAAGGGTTCTTTTTGTTATGACTCAACTTTACCAATTAGAGCACAACAGCTTTCATCTCTTTAATAAAAATTACCCCTAAACTTGATCAGAAGGTGGTTCATATATGTACAAAATGTCCCAAGAGATGCAATAAATTTCGCTGAGAAGTAGGCAGGGTCGGTGCAGTCTATAGATATCCTGGGTTAATTGCCACATGGTCACATGTTCAGAATGCACATGTCCATACTCCATATCTCTTGGATAAACTATGTCATATGGGCATGCTCATGTACAGCTCATTGCAGCATTCTATAAAAACCTCTCCACTTTTTGTTGTATTTTTTGTAAACGAATATTATAGTGTGAGTTCCCCCTTTTCTTAAAGTAAAGTATCAAATAGGATTTGAATACATAAATGACGCTCTAACTTTTGTATTTTTCTTAGTGTATACTTAATAAAATGGCACAATGAAGGGGACCAAGACATTCCATTACATTGCTTTAGTGTAAACGGCAGGGGAGAACCTACCAGGATATAGCTCCACAAGCATGAAGGACCCATTGGAAGGTTACATAGGAGCAGCTCCAAAATACAAAGAAAGCCAGGCGGTACCAGGGGAAGGGCTGAAAAGAGTGAAAGCAACCAGGTGTAAAATAATCACACCAAGGTAAAAGAAAGAACAGAGTGATTTTGTCTTACCATATTGTTGAGAAATGTGTCTATCAGTAAAAGAACAGCATTAAGAGAATGCATGCCATCAGTGATCTGCATGAAATTTTAAAGAACAAGATCAGCCAAAAATAAGATTACATCACCAATTCTTTATTTGACCAGCTACAAACACCTGTGCTGTTTATTACTGTTAGATTGCCTATGCTTACTACTACTATCATCTTAAATGTTTAGCACATACTAGATTTGGATTTACACTATGATTCTTACAGCTCAGTATAACAAGTAATTGTTTATATGCCACTAGAATATAATAGGGGAGAAAAGCCAAGGTAGGAGTTATTTCTTTTATTGAATAGAATTGATTTGCCAACGATAGGCATTTGGTTGGGGGGATGAACAGCTGAGGCTATACACATCCTGAAATTTTTACATACCAAGGAAAGTCCAAACTTATCACGGTAAAAGAATGGCACAAGTAGTCCCCAAAATGTGATATCAGTCAGCATTGTTGCACCTGCACTAGTCTGTAAAATAGATTACAATTAGTTGGCGATAGAATCACACAATTTGATAGCAGGCATGAACTCAGTATCCGTGGTACAGGTGAGGAGATTATTTTTTTACTAGGCCAAAGAAATTGATGCTAGTTTGTGTTGAGTGCTAAATAACATGGAGAACATAAAATGTAGCTATGGTAGTAGTTTGAGTTGCATAGCCCCAAGCAATCAGCTGATGAACTTGCTCTAACTTAGCACATGCACTGAATATCAATATGACGTAGTAAGAAAACATAAGTGTTAGTATTGTATCTATATTCCTTAAAGCAGTATCATTTGGATTTAGATTTGACAGTATTGAGTATCGTAAATAAAGCACATAGCATGTCCATAATTACAATTCTAGAATGACAGGTGAGTTCAAACCTGGTAAATGATTTGCATGCAACGTCCCCATAATCCAGCTCTTTTCTCATTTGCTATTTGTTCATGATAGTTTGTTATCTTCTCCTCATCCCTTTTCATCTCGCCAGAAGAAGTGGAAAACTCACGATTTTCCACATCGTCACTAAGAAATTCATGGGATTCATCAGCTTTCTTCAAGTTTTTCTTTGAGTAAACCCAACATCCGTGAGCTGATATAGCAGTTGCAAACTAAGAATAACACACTCAATTAGTGAAGGCATCAAATGATAGGCAAGCTAGAAAAGAAAGAAACGATAAAATAGCACATATGCAGATTCAAAAAGATAAAAGGTGGACAGACAACTTGGGAACAAAGAACATACCGCAAAATATATGGTGACTAATAAAAAGGTCCACCTGCAAAGATAATTCAGGAGAGAATTAATTAAAGTCAAAAGAGCAGTTAGGTTCATCTAAGGAAAAGGGAGGAAATAATAAAATCAAGAGTCAAGACTGCAAACAACTACAAGGGGGCTGATCAGCTGCATGCCTTCTAAAGCAACAACTACCAGAATATTTAAAACATTTGCCAGATCCATCTATCTGACACGGGGCAATTAGTTCAGTGTGGCCAAACTAAAAGCAGAAAGCTCCAAATCTACATAGCAGTACAGAGATACTGTAAACAGCCAAAAGTCAATGGATCAATGTGTGGATCACTTCGAATGCTACTATCCAGCTATGTCAAATCACTCCGAACAATTCTCGCTGGTAAACGCTAATTTCTACACCACATTATAGAACAGCTAGACGCTCGCGTATGCTTGTATGGACGATGTGTACGATGTTTGTCTTAGATTATTCGAGGCAATCAAGCTTGCTCAGATAGTGGAGGAGGAGGACGGAGGAGGCCGTACTGGGTGTAGAAGAAGAAGACGTCGATGCCATGGCCGACGAGGAGGCGGACGAGGAGGGCGACGGCGGCGGCGAGGGCGAAGGCGCGGTAGCCGAGGAGCCAGCCGGGGTGGAGACGCGCCCAGCAGGGGACCCACAGGTCGGTCCCGCGGAGGGGCGCGGCCGCCCTGCGCAGCCGCGGGAGCAGCGCCGCCGCGGCGGCCGTCGGCAGCACGATGAGGGCGCCGCAGACGAACACCTGCCACCGCAGCCAGTACGCCGCCTCGCCGTCCTCCGCCGCCGCCGACGACGACATCACCCCCCCGGCGACGCGCGGTTGACCTTTGCTTGAGCCTCGCGTCGCGTAGCGGCAATGGAGGTGCGGCGCGGGGGAATTTTGGGGTAGTTGGGGTTGGGTTGTTGACGGTGTGCGACGCTGCGACTGCGAGTCCGACCGCGACTCGGCGAGCGAGGCGGTGAAGTTGCGGAAGTAGACGCGGAGACGGAGATTGGAGGGAAAGGTTAGCATTCGGCCACGGATTGGCTCGCTTTCCGGGCCCGGGTGCGGTTGGAACGCGTTAAAACGGCACCGAGCCGTGGTCGTTTTCTCCTCACTCGCTGCTCCCCTGCTCTGCTTCAGTTGCTTCGCGCGCTACGCCGATGGATCGGGATTGATCGGGTGGGGCGTTTGAGTTTGGTGGTGTGACTTGGGGCTAGATAACTTTGCTACCATTTTTTTTCGATAAAGTTACTTAAAAAAGTAGTTATATTTAGTTTGTTGCTAAATTTTAGTAAGTATATATGAAATCTTGCCAAAATTTTGACAAACTTATCAAAATTTGACAATGACAAAACTTGATAAGGTTGAAAATGGTAGCAAAGTGAACGAGCCCTTGATTTACGTAGAAATTTCATAAAATTCAAATCTTACTAAAAATTTTTTCTTTAACCATTTGATATAAAATATTGGAGCTTTTCAAATCATATGAAATAACTCATTGCATCTAGATTTTAGAGGAAACTTCGCAAGATTTTCTTCCTACAATTTTCTTCATGTCTTTCTATTTCATTCGATTTCTATGTTTTTCCCTTCAGGCCAATTAAACGATCATTTTTGTGTTTTGTCCTCCATTTTTCAATTCCTTTGTCCTGTTTTTCTTTCTCCGTTTTTTCATTCCATCGGCCTTGTCTCGTCTATGAAACTTATCATGCCAAGCTTAACCAGCGTTTTTTTGGCAATTTCATGCTGTTGGTTTGAAGAGCAAATCAGGCGCCAATTTCTATTGGGAGAATTCAAACAGCAAATCAGGCGCCAATTTCTATTGGGAGAATTCAAATCTAAAGGTATGTTTGGTAGAGCTCCAACTCCTAGATTTAACTCTATGAGTTGAGTCTAGAGTGGAGTTGTGGAGCTGCCCAAACCCAGCTCCACCTCTCTAGTTCATTTTGTAAGAGAGCTCCACTCCCGCTTTAGGTGGAGCTGAAACTGTTTGGCTGAGCTCTAGCTCCAAAAAAGATGGAGCTGTACCAAACAGACCATAACTTTGATGCAAGTTTAGAGTAGTCTCAAGTCTAAACAAATGACTGGATGAACTTGCGTAGATTTGCTGTTCATCTGGATTGAGCTTATGTGTTCTGCTCCAATTTGGAGATCACCATAATCAACCATGCAATGCTAATCCAGTAGATCGATGATAAATACGATAACATCAAGGCATCGACTATCGAGAAGCTCGAGGGTTTGTAATATTGATAACTTACAGTCTCGCCCATAGCTTTCATGAACAAGGTGGTGGATTGCTCAGAGAGAAGCACAATGACATCTCACGTTTGGAAAATATTCCATTTGGTCTTATTACTGCTTACAGAGTTGGACGCATAACTTCTCATTTACCATAGTCAGAGAGCATGCACAGACATACATGGAGGAAAAATGTGGCAGCAGCTGATATACAGGCATACAGCCATGCCATCCCAGCAAAACAGAAATAACTTCTGGGAGCTAGACAACGAATTCCATCGGTAGCCCAGCCCATTTTAATGACAGCTTATAACAATGTATCTTCTGCATCTTAATTAGGTCAAATGATTTTTTTTTCCCTGGGATCAGTTTGCTGTGTCAATTGTCAACATTAAAGAAAACCAGAATGCTTGTGTCTCATTATGCCCATTATCGGTAAAGGCTGGAATATATGAGTATAGAGCTCAAAAGGACCTTCCGAAAATATCAGTCCAACTGCAAATACAGAACGCCATGACCAGAAAAAAAACAAGAGCAGGTACCTGCCAAAAAAAAGTAATTTTATACTTACTGAAGAGAAGATGATAAAAAGGATACATCTTCCCATAAAATAGAAAAATATACCCCTATTCCTTAATATTGGCTCAGTTTAATTTCCATCTCTCAACTACAAAACCGAATGAAAAACATCCATTAACTCTCATGTTAAGAGTGAGGCTACAAGTTGAACATACAACAAACAGTAGGCCTACATGACGAACGGTGACAACTATACCAATAGTTAATCTTAGATGACCAACCATGACTCACTAGGACACAAGCAGACACATTGTCTGCGGGTCCAAACCACCTAAAACAGGGTAGGTTGGAGGAACAGGTTTTACCAGGTTTTGAGAATAGAGGGGCAGATTTTACTTGATTTTGTAAATGCCAGACAAAAACTAAGCCGAGTCAAGAATCGAACGCCAGGAATAGATATTTTCATTAAGAAAAAAGAGGCCCAAGAAAAAGCAGAACTTACCTGTTACCGTTTGACCCATTGGAAGCTCTTTCTTGCTTTTGCCTTTCCAGGCTTTTTCCTTTCAACAACCCGTGAGTCTCTTGTCAAATATCCAGCTGTTTGGTTTAAGTATGAAGACATAATTAGAAGTGTTGGAAGATAATATAGAAATGAGAAAGAATAGCAAGGCAACAAGACAACAACATTCGCTGAAATAGAAGTCATTTTGGATGGTTGCTCATAGGGAAAATAATGCTCAAACAATCTCAATGTTCAAATGTGAACTGCCAATCATCATCTAGAGGAGTAAGAGTCATCTCCTTTACCTGCTTTGAGATTTGGGCGTAGTCCTGGTTCCCAATTCTGCAAGGCCCTGCTGATCCCTAGCCGGATAGCTCCAACTTGTCCTGCACTTGCAAAAAAGAAATTCAATCAGGGAGAATGTTTTTGTAGCCTATCTAAAAATCAACTAGTAGAAACGTGCAGCGTCTAATAGCAAATGTGTATGAGTTAGAAAATTACACTGAATAAAACATATTAACTAAAGACTCAATGAATCCAGGCACTGGCATTGAGGTATGATACTAAAGCTGGAATCCGTGGAGCATTGAAAGATAAAGCGTGCAAAATTATGCGTGAATGAATGCCTCATGTGAACGTGAAATATGACATATATTCCATATCTCATAATTTACAATACAGAACCCAAGAATTTATATGTGCATAGTTAATGCAAAACACTTTCGTATAGAACCAGAAGCAATTTATCATGTCTATCTCCAGAAAATTATTTATCATGTCAAAAGAAATAAATACTAACCTGAGACACCACCACCTTTCACAGTACAAGTAACATCCCAACGCCCCAAAGTTTTGGTCACGGTAAATGGGCGAAGAAGATCAGCCCGATGATCCAGAATTGGGAAGTAAGAATCAAATTGTTTGTCATTGACAATGAACTTCCCATCACCAGGCTGAATCCAAACACGGGCAATGCTGCATTTCCTTTTCCCTGTTCCATAAGCCCTTCCTTTCTCATCGACTTGTCTTACACGTGCTTTAGCAATTTCCTCTTGCTTTTGGCGTTCTACATCAGCTCTGCTTGATGTTGCATTCATTTTTTCGATAGTTTCATCTTCTATTTCTCTTAGGGGAGGTAATCCAGGAACACCCCTAACATCCTTTAAGAGGATCAAACTAGCAATCATATCCTCTGTAATCCCAGAGGCCTCAATGAGATCACCAAATGCACGATTTGGACCTGCAACCACAAAAAAACTACTTTACGACATGCTACAAACATATGTATGCACTATGGATTATTCCTGCATAAGATCCTACTTAATAGCAGAAAGAAAAACTTTGTATATTATTAGAATCAACTAGGGCATAATAAATAATTAAATCAGTCATGAGGTTGCAGAAGCACGCAGAACAAAAATCACAATGATCATGAGTGAAATTATCTACCCGATTCAATGATACCTTATTGCAATTGATGGTAAATGACATGAATGAGTGGCATCACATGAAACAAATGCTGGTGGTGAGTGGAGACCAACAGGCACATTCCAACTTCTGCATTGAAGCAAATTGCTCCTAAAACACCTACCGGATATTTGTGATACCTCAAAATAATTAGCTACTGATCAAGTATACAAACCTGGCAAGCTCGTCCTGATACAGCATTGTAAGTAAACAACATCTAACACTTACTTGGAATACCATTTCAGAGATTTATTATGTCTGCGGGTATGATCCTATAGCTCCAAACTACGCCAATTCAATCAGTTGCATAATACTAATTATACACACATAACAGCAACCGTACTATGACAAATTATGTTACTGCATAAAGATAGATTTACCTTTGAGTGTCTCCATTAGTTCTTGCTCCCTCGCCCTTCTCTCTAGCCGTTTTCGCTCTTCCTCCTCCTCGTCTTCCCCCGCATCGGCCTCATCAATCGCAGCGCCATCACCTCCGATCCCCTCAAGCCCACCCCCGAGCACGGCCTCCGCGAAAGGATCCTTCTCATCCTCCCCACTCAGCGTCCACAGCTCGTCGGCGCCTGCCCCCGGAGCCTTCTCTCCAGAAGCGACGGCGGCGGTGGCAGCCTCTTCCTTGAAGATCTCCTCGAACACGTCCCCCTTCTCGCTGCCCTCCGCGCGGAAATCCTTCGCCCACGGGTCCTCGCCGGCGGCGCTCAATCCTAGTGGATCCTCGCCGGCGGGAGCTTCGACGCCCTCACCGGCGGCGAAGGGATCCGGATCGCCGGATTCCGGCGTGAACGCCCATGGCTTGTTGGGGTCGTCGTCGCGGCCGGACGTGGAGAGGAGCCGCGGCCAGAGGAGGCTGGAGGCGGGGAGGGGACGACGAAATGGAAGGGGAGCGGAGACGGGAGAGGACGAGGCAGCGGCGGCGGTGGCTGCGCTCGCCGGAGTTAGGGTTTGGAGGCGGTGGCCGAGGCGGCGGGAGGAGTGGAGGAGGCGGCGGAGCAGCATGGTGGCGGCCGGAGGAGGGAGGCGACCACTCCGTGGAATGCTAGGGTTTTAGCGGCTTAACTCGTCTCGGTTTCCTCTTTCCGCTTCCTCCGCTAATTTTACGTGTTGCGAACGGGAAAGCGTATTAACCAGTTGCTTGGTTTCAGCTGGAGAGGCGTATTTCTTAAAATTCCGTATCCTAGCTTCGAACACGTATTTTGTACAATCAGCTTGGATTTTGTACTAATCTCGACTTCTCGAGTACGAAGATCTGTGTACTGGTATATGGCCGTGCGATCCAAATCCACGCGATACACTGGCTTAGTTAATTACTGATCTCACCGTAGAAAATGCAGTGAGTAAGACAGTAAGTATATATTGCAAATCTAAGGTCAAGTCCGTCCTGTTCTACCCGATTAATGGCTTGCATTGATGACTTTAACTAACCATTTCGCCGTCACTAAAGCCCTTACCCGTACTACGAGTGTACTACAAATATCATAAATTGAAGATTCAGCAAACCAAACTCGGCAGCTTTGATGTCAGTATACTTGTGTGTATTATTGTCTTTAAAACATGGTCTTAACGTGCATTTTGCAATGGAAGAGGTGTAAATAAGATGTGAGCAGGGTTCATGTTAGGACAGAAACGGGTAAAAAAGAAACGCTATGCACACGTGTATTGTGGGCGCATGAATTTGTACTGTACACAAAGTAAGATGTTCTAACGTGTTTGTGAAATTTGAAAACATATTTTTAGTCAAAGCTCAAATGGTTTTCAAGAAATTGAAATTTAAAACGGTAAATTCGAGCAAAATCTCGTGAAAAGATGCGACTATGTGAGTTACTACAAAGTTGTCACACGAATTTTACACCTGCATGAAAGTAGCACGAATACTAGCTTTACTGATGAAGAGAGGTAAGTACAAGTAGTAAGCATATAAGGAAGTTTACAGTTAACCCAGGTTTGATTGGCTTTTACCTCATGCTGCGGCAAGATCTTGGTGTCACTCTCTCACACTGACATCGAGAAAAATGTCTGAAAGCTTTGGTTCCTTACGGATTTTTCTGCAAAGGCTCGCGTCGCTGCTACCTGAATAGGCTGAAAAGCGACAAGATTGAGGCATCCAGACCATCGGCATGTGAATGTACTGCCTCCCCTGCTCAATTGCAAAAGGCTAAAAGCCTAGAAAGCGATCCTTTTTACACCCAAAAAAAAATTCCATACACGAGAAGAGGTGGTGTTGTAGTAAGTACAGTATACTAGTAGAACATTTTAGCGTAGTTCAACGCGATGATGTGAAGAATGATTGCAGCATATGAACTGCCACTCATTTGCGATCATATTGTAGATGACCAAACTACAGTGAGAACAACTTATTTGCAATCATATATAAATTGACAAGTTTACAAGTTACCTTTCATCAAACAAAGATTCTCTACTTTGTATGTATCTCTTTGGCTCTTTGGCCTTTACAAGCATATTTTAACTTCAAATTTCAGGAGAAATTGAATTGTTTTCTACGATACACGCCTAAAGTTTCAGATACAGATTTTATCCTGATATGCTTAAAAATTCAGAACAGGAAAGAATATTCATAGCAGATTCTTCACCAGCCTGTCAGATAGTAGAAATCCCCAAACAAAATTAACCCCCCAATTAGTTGTACACCAGCCAAAAACTAAAGCTCTCCTCCAAACAGTGGTCCAGCACAAGCAAAATTTGGGCCAAACCTGAAAGGACCCCTCCTCCAACCCGACACTGTAGCAGGTACATGATGAGAAAAACAAACAAAAACAATGAGAGAGAGAGAGAAAAGCAAATTAAAATTGCAAACAAGAACAGGTAGCCAGCTTGCCAACACCACTAAGAAAACAGTAACAGCAATCCTTTTCATCTAATTGGTCCCAAAGCTTTTAAGATTTTTTTTACTGTAATCACGCACCTAATCTTCCTCATGGAGTCATACCTTCTCTCTCTGCCTGAACCTCTCGCCTAGCAACACGCAAACAAGTCTTGGGAAACGTATTTGCCACACTTTACACTTCATGCTGCTGTGTTTAGCTACCAAATTTAATGACCCATATTGATCTGTCTCATGTGCGGCTGCAGTGCGATTTCGCCTAACTTATTCCCAAGTTGGCTAACCCCACTGTCACACCATGAACAGACTTGGTTAGTTATTTTTTTTTCTCTCCACAGCAAAGTTGACAAATACTAGCGTAAAACCACCAAGGCTGTGTTTAGTTCCACGCTAAAAATCGAAATTTGACTAAAATTAAAAGTTTGAAGAAAAAAAGGTTAAAAGTTTATGTGTGTACTAAAGTTTTTGATGTGATGAAAAAGTTAGAAGTTTGAAGAAAAAGTTGTGAACTATACCAGACCCAAATCCCCTTTTAAATTCACACATAATTTACACCGATTCACACATACTAATGCGTGTAGTTTTGCAACTGAGTTGTTTTAACCCTAGGTAAACCCTCCGTTACAAAATATAACAAAGTTATGTATTTGATAGGTTAATATATATAACTAAAAGTTAATAGTATATTTTAGGATGGATATATTGTATTTTCCCTATTTCTACTTATGTACTCCCTCCATCCCAAAATGTTTGACGCTGTTGACTTTTTAAAAAATGTTTGACCGTTCGTCTTATTCAAAAAATTAAGTAATTTTTAATTCTTTTTTCTATTATTTAATTTATTGTTAAATATATTTTTACATATACATATAGTTTTACACATTTCATAAAATTTTTTGAATAAGACGATATTTGAAAAGTCAACGGCGTCAAATATATTTAGAGAATGAGAAAGTAAGTAAGTAAAAAAAAATCGTCCTCTTCTCCTTCCCTCCCTCGTCTATCCCACCTACACCATCCTAAAGAGTACTCTTTAAAGAAGGGTTTATCTACAAAACGGATCGAAAAGTTGATCGTATTTTCCATATCAAATTAAACCACGTTCGTTCGATCCCGTCGTAACGCGTGAGCATGTAACTAGTTTTTTTTTTTTTGAAACATGGAAATGTCGTTTTCGTTTTCCATCGCCCGATGACAAAATCTGGACAGGTTAACATTTCCAAAACAAACAAGGGGACGAGATTTTAAGGCAAATCCAGAGACAAAAAATTGGTTAATTAAGCCCAGAGCCGGGAGGGACAGCTCAGCGCTGTAGCGTCGTTGCGCCTGAGAAGAATCCGAGAAGCTTTCGTTGCAAGCTCCATCCCAAGGAGTCCTTGATCTCATATGGCTCCAAACTCTCCAACTCTGTAGCGCGTAATTGCCAGAGCTACTACTATTACAGCAAGAGAGAGAGGAGGAGGAGGAAGAAGATGCAGTGGGTGTGAGCTGCGGCTTGCGGGCGAGGGAGTAATCTCGCTGTCGCTTTCGCTGGGCGACGAGTTGGAGGAGAGACACGACCACGTCCGCCCCCACGCGCCCACGCCCACCACCACCACCACCTCCATGACTGCATCCTCCTCCAAAAACCCAAGGCACAAATCCTAACCACCGGACGCGAGCCGACGCGACGCGACGCGAGTCCCCATCCACATCGCTCGCGGCCCTTCCACCGCACGCCAGATCGGTGGCGGCGGCGGCTGCTCGGGGTTGGATCCAATGCGAGCGGTGATTGATAGCTGTTGATGCGAAGGACGACGATCTGAGGTGGTGGTGGAGTTGGGGGGATGGCTGCGGCGACGGCGCCGGTGGCGGGTGCGGCGGAGCGGCAGCAGCAACAGCAGCAGCAGCAGCGCGGCGGGGCGGCGTCGGCGAGCGGCAACGCGGTGAGTTTTGGGGTGGTCCCTTCGCCTTCTGCTCTCCGATTCCTCGCTTGCGCTTGGTGCCTCTCTTCGGTGGTGTGCTGTGGCTGTGTCTGTCTGCTGGATTTTCGTTCCGGTTTGGTATCTGATGCTGCGTTGCCGCCGAGTTTCTCGCCGGAGTGGTGCTTTGCTTTGGCGTGTGGATGGATGGGTGTTCCACTGTTTTGGTGGTGGTGGAATTTTTGGTTGAGCTGCAAGGCCAGATGGCGCGGATAAGCCAATGCAGTTTGGTTCGGTGGAGTTGGTGGTGTGATGAATGGGTTTCGTTTGAGAAAATCACCGTACTAAGCGAGGAGTGAGGTTGCAGTAGTTGCTAATGTTCCTGTTTTATTTGGGTTTGGATTGGATTTGGTGGTCTTAGTATTGGAGGTGTTATCCAGATGTTTTAGTCTGAGAGTGACCAGCGGATTGCATGGTGGATGATACTTGGCTTGGATTAGAGTTGTTTACCACAGGAATGCGAATCGAAATGTTTGAGAGAGTATCAATTTGTCATGGCGTAAGGATGGAGGGATTCTACAGTGTCATCTGCACGCTGAAACTGGACATTGGATGTGTGAGATGCTTTGCAGGCTGACTGGTGTTGGATCGTTGTGGTGCCCTGTGAATGATGGGCTTCAGATATGAGGTGCAGGGAGAGTGGGAATCCAGATGAGGGAAGTGAGGAATTTACTGGAGTTTTTCCCCGTTGAATTCATCTGTCCTTTTACGTTCATAGATGAACAGTCTGTATATTCAGTGGTTATTTGGAGAGGCGTGGTTTGATTTGTTCACTCTTGCTGGATCTCTGATACATAGGTCCCGAATTGCATGTCTGCTAGCCCGAGTACAAGACTTCTGAATGTTCTCGTTAAAACAGAACTTTCGATTGGGACCTGATGTTGCATTTTTTTGCTATTACATATTTACCATTATAATCACAGTATTTCTGACATTGTAATTCTCTCTAACTAGGTATTTAAGAGTGGCCCTCTCTTCATATCATCCAAAGGTAAACTATTTGGGTTATGCATCAGTTATTTCCACCTGTGCATATCAGAGCATCACCATTAATTTTCAGCTATGATTTTTAAGGAATTGGATGGAAATCATGGAAAAAGCGTTGGTTCATCCTCACTCGAACATCACTTGTTTTCTTCAAGAGCGACCCTGTAAGTATTTTATTCTGGTCCACAACCTAAGTAATTGCTATATTGAAAATCTCAAGTTATGTAGACCCATCAGTCCAGAAATAGTACTTTGGTTTGGCTTGTTGATATGACGGTTCACACCTATCTAGTATCTACATAGCACTTTCATCGTCTCTCTTGATCATGGCCAATATGTAGTAGTGTGATATACATTTGTTTTATGTTGATTTCATGACAATGCATGTGTAGATCACAATTAAACATGAGTACAGTATTTTTAGAGTTTGGCACTGAATGGCAGAATGACTAATTTGCTCTTTTCAGTCCACCAAATATATGAGTAGCATCATTATATTTTGTAGCTTCCTTGTTCTGGTGGTTACATGTGTTCCTTTGCTTCAAATATCCAACTGGCAGTGCTTGATCCTTGGTAACTGCTTATTCATGTTCTTGTCCATGTTACACGAGAGTCCAGGTAGGTGTTTAGTGTATCCACTATTTTAGTCATTGCATGGTCATCAGAATTGGCATTCCGGGCCACAGGTTGCTGATTATTATTTAGTCTAGAACTGAAGGGAAGAGGGAGGAGGGGAGGGGAGAAGGAAATCTAACCTTCATACCAAATGCTGCTGTATGCCAAAGCAGCAGCAGTTGCTCATGGCCATATTAGAGGGAGGAAGGAAAATTCTGTTGGGGATGTTGGACTGATAGAGATGCGAAATGTGATCGTTGGGGCGCTGGGACGCCTTGTGTAGCCCACTCAGCCCACCTTTTTTATTCTCCTTTATCTTTTTTCTCCAACTAGGGCCAATGGGATCACTCAGTGCATTTGAAAAACACCACCTCCCCATCAACTCACATTTCTAGTAATCTGCAACCCCATCCCTTGGCCCAGATTCCTGGTGACTACAGTCATTGCCATATATTTCGTTTCATTTATTGTCCAGCTTATGAGCTACACCAATAGAATTTGTTTCTTACTTCTTGACAAGTACCTTTCATGCCATTGTAGAATACCTTGCCCCAGAGAGGTGGTGAAGTGAATGTTACTTTGGGGGGAATTGACTTGAACAATTCTGGGAGGTTTGTATCTTTCATTATTATTTATTTATTTGCAGTTTTATTCAAAGTTTACTTTATTAGATTTTTATCAAATTTGCTGCATACTTCTTAGACAAATGATTTAGGGCACTGCTTCCTTTTTGGTTTAACTGCATAATAATGTTAAACTAACAATTTATCTCATTCACAGTGTAGTGGTCAGGGAAGACAAGAAATTGTTAACTGTCCTTTTTCCAGATGGTCGTGACGGCCGTGCTTTTACCTTGAAGGTATACAATTTCCCTTTAACTTTAACAGCTTGACCCCTTAGAAAATACAAGATGTTGAATTATAAGTGTTGTGTTTTTTAAGTCTTTTAAATGCCCTTCAAAGTTCACTAGAAGTGCCTGCTATTCCCAATACAGGCAGAGACATCGGAAGATTTGTTTGAGTGGAAAACAGCATTGGAAGAAGCTCTTGCACAGGCCCCAAATGCAGCTCTTGTGATGGGACATAATGGGATATTTCGTAATGACACAACAGATCCATATGAAGGAGCTGTTCCAAACTGTTGGTTCCTCTTCTCTAGTCTGACTTAGTTCTATTTGTGAAGAATTCCCTATCTATCTCCTTTTTTCATACATACCATCCTTTCTCTGCAGGGCGAGAGAAGAGGCCTATCAAATCATTGGTTGTTGGTAGGCCGATTCTTCTTGCACTGGAAGATATTGATGGCAGCCCTTCTTTCCTAGAAAAAGCTTTGCGTTTTCTTGAGAGACATGGTATGGATAATCATTGTTCGTTATCAGTTATCAATGAAGTTCGAAAATGCCTGAACCCATCCAAAAAATTGTTTGGAAATGTGAATATTTCTTTCAGGAATAAAGGTGGAGGGAATTTTGCGCCAGGCTGCAGATGTGGAGGAGGTTGACAAAAGAATGCAAGAATATGAGCAAGGTACATGTAGTTACCATGCTTGTAACTTCATATGTAGAATTGTGATTTAATTGGTGGCATTTATGGTTTGATAATTTTGGTGCACCATTAAAGTTATTGGTGACTGTTTACCATCGTCCAATAACTCAATTATTGCACTTTGTTCTGTTTCATTATAGGAAGGACGGAGTTTGCACAGGATGAGGATGCTCATGTTATTGGTGACTGTGTAAAGGTGCCTTGATTCCTGTTACCTTGATGCTCCAAAAATTCCTATATGTTGCAAGAGTTTTAATATTTCATTTCCTGCTTGCAAAGTGTATTTATGTAAAGTCAAAAACATTTCTGCAGCATGTTCTACGTGAACTACCATCTTCTCCAGTACCTGCTTCCTGCTGCACAGCCTTATTGGAAGCTTTTCGTAAGTGCTCTGCTTTGTTCATGTTAGCTTAAATATCGTCATTCACGATCCTTGATAAACTTTATAATGAATTCAATAAAATACAAACAAATTCACTAAACTACCTAATATTAGAAGAAGCTGCAATATTTTTTAGTTACTAAAACTAATCATAGATACAGCCGATGTAAGTTCTAAGCTTTGACTGCTTTGCTTACCTGTAGGATACACTCATACCCCTTCTGGTGTCTGTTACCAAGTACTAGATTATTTTAAGGAGCAAACCTATACAGATTCAAAATCAGACTATAACCTTTTATGGAAGTTGATTAAAGTTATACACTTATACATACTACAGTTCAACTGGTAGATAATGACTGTAACATACAATGCTATTTTTTGAAAAAAAATATTTACAGAAACTAAAACAGTTAGTGTTACCATATACTTTAGCTTAGGTTTTTGTAATTTGTTTATTTTCAGTTATTTGCTTCCATATTTCGTTCCTTGGCATTCTTTTCATTTCCTTCATACTTTTCCAGGTCTGGAGAGCAAGGAATCTCGGATAAATTCTATGCGTGCGGCAATATCTGAGACATTTCCTGAGCCTAATAGGCGGCTGCTACAGAGGTCAGTGTACTTCTATTTTATGTGGATATCTTATCTGCCGAGTTGGCTTTGCCTGCTGGCATATCAGCCTGAATATTGCATTATCACTAAAGCCTGATACCTTCTGAGATCAGGGTTTTTGTCAATGTTTTTGTATTGATTAAAATTATGTGTTTGATATAGGAGTAACAAAACACATTCAGCTCTGTACTAATAGTGTAAAAATTGCTAGTGATGTTATGTTATCATTTAGATAGTTTATCAACAACTGGCCAAATTCTTAACAAGCTTGTAAAACCATTTTTTGGCAGAATTTTGAGAATGATGCACACTGTTGCTTCTCATACTGCTGAGAATCGAATGACTGCATCAGCAGTTGCTGCCTGTATGGCTCCTCTCTTGTTGCGTCCACTTCTGGCTGGTGAGTGTGAGATGGAAGATGACTTGGACATGAATGGTGACAGTTCTGCCCAGCTCATTGCTGCGGCAAATGCTGCCAACAGTGCTCAAGGCATTGTCACTACTCTCTTGGAGGAATATGAGGGTATTTTTTATGTAAGTTTACTCGATACCATCCCAGAGAATGTTGCCCTGATGATTCTTTTCTGGCAATATTAATCTAATCCTTGATTGATTGTTTTTCTATTTATTGTGGAAGTTACTAATTTTTAATTATTCATGTTTATCAATTTTACAGGATGAGCACCTGAGGTGTTCCCTATCACCTGATTCTCAAATTGAAGATAGCGGAAGTGAAGAGTCAACAGATGATGAAACTGTGGATATCAAGGACAGTGGATTTCATGATGCAGAGAATGATGCAGATCAAGAATTAGATGACTCTGAGCGCATATTGAGTGGAAAATTAAGTGAAACCAGTGCATGCACTGCTGGTGACCTCTATGACTACAAGGTTTGGTGTTTGCAGTCTTAAAATTTTTAATCGGTAGTAAGTTTGATCTAATACAATCATATATACAGTTCGAATATTTTCAAGTCAATCATATATACACGGAAAAAGGTTTAAGATTCCAATTCCACTGATGAGAAGTTTTTTTTCTTCCCTTTGCACATGCAGTAGTTCTTTTCACTATATAGTAGCATAATCTTATCGCGCCTATCCTTACATATTTTTGGTGGTTCATGATATGAAGCATTCTGAGTAGCTTAATCAGAAACCAACTTGGCTTTTAATTTTTATTTGATTAGCAAGTTCATCTGTCAAAAATCATGATGTGGCTTATGCTTTTGTTCTCATTGCAACATGAACGACAGGTAGCTGATGATGATTCAGACGGTGAACCTTCTACAGAAGATAAGGCTTTGGAAACAAAGGTGGATGTAAATGATGCCCAGCATAGTCATTTAGCTGAAAATGTTTCAGTGAATGTCCAGAGATCACCGAATGAAAAAGATCCACCAAATATGGTGTCCAGTCAGGATTCCCCGTTGTCGATGGGAGATATTCTTTCTTCTTTGGATGCTGGAATTTCCTTACCTGGTCCTGGACCTGAATATTCTGTAGACAGGCAGTCCATCAAATCCAATGGAACTCAGATGCATGTGAAGCGCTCCAACTTTTGGGGACGGAACAATGTAAGTGAGAACTTTTGTCCTTTACTGTATCTCCTCAGAAAGTTCATGTTACTTGAAGGGAAGTAGAATTGTGACCACTGACTTATGGTTCTGTGATATTCTTTAAAGAACATTATGGTTTCCTCTGGGAAAACATTAGGAGATATGCACTCCTTAGGACACTATCAGTGTATAAAGTTGTTTCAAGTGATTTACACATTCGGTTTATGCAGGGAAGAAAAAGTCAACAGTCAGAATTGGCTGATTCATCGGGTGAAGAAGAGTAAGTCCCCATTCCATTTTCGTGTTTAAATGATTGTTTCATGTAAAAGGATAGAGTTGAAGAGTTAGTTATTCTTGAAGTTGTTCCATCAATACATTTGCTTCTGGTGTTCTGCCTGCTGGATCATTTTTCTGTTACTAGTTAAGTTGGAGATACATCCATTCAGGTAAAATATGTAGCAACAGCTTTCTATGATAACCATTGTTTAGACCTATTGAGAAGTTGTTTCTGTGCTAGCCTTTTGGCTAGTGCTACCATTGACTGGTAATGATAGGACTGAGCATTATTGTTTTGTAGCCTTAAAACTTCTCATTGAATAATTGTATCAAAATAGCAGTGTGATGGATTGATTTAATGTTAATTACTCTTAACTGTTAAATTTCTTTCAGGCTTGCTATCCAAAGACTGGAGATCACAAAGAATGACCTCCAGATCAGAATCGCGAAAGAGGTACAAAGGGAATAGTACATGTATACTCAAGACTTTTGATTTACAGTAATACTAAAAACTAATTGGAAATGCTTCTCAGGCTAGAGGAAATGCAATCTTACAAGCAAGTTTGGAAAGAAGAAAACAAGCACTACATGAGCGCCGTTTGGCTCTGGAGCAGGATGTATGCTATATTCTTTTACCCTATGAATTAGTTATTTCATTCCATGCTTCCAAAATATGCTGAAAATTTCACCATCTGTAGTAACAGTTTCAATCAACTTTTATGTTGTATGTTTTATTGAACAATTCACTGTCAGGCTTTTAAATACAAACACGTGGACTTTAAGACAGTTTCTTACTTTGTTTGATGGCAACTGCTTGTACCTCTAGGTTTCAAGGTTGCAAGAGCAGCTACAAGCTGAAAGAGATCTTAGAGCTGCATTGGAGGTTGGATTAAGCATGTCTTCTGCACATATTTCTAGTTCACGTTCTATGGATTCAAAGGTACTCAAATGTTATGCAACTTGACACTGATGATCATATATACTCTGTGGGCTTATTGATGGAATCTAATTTCTTCTTTGTGCTTCCCTTAAAGACGAAGGCAGAGCTTGAGGAGATTGCTCTTGCGGAGGCTGATGTTGCAAGGTTAAAGCAGAAGGTTGCGGAGCTCCATCTCCAACTCAACCAGCAGCGTCAACATCAGTATGGCTCTTTGGCAGATGCAAATGATCGTTATCAACATCTTCCAAACCATCTCCCACAGTAAGAAACCATATTTTTCATAGTTAACATTCATTTCAATTTTGTTTGAACTGTGGTCCAGACTCCAGAACATCCATAAATATCAAGTATTGGCTGCTACACATTTTAGTAACAAAAACATGATGTTTCTGCTGTCAACTGCTGGCTTACTATATCTGCTCAAACCATATATGTTTAACAGTTCAATGTGTTATATATACTCTAGTTGTCCTTTGAAATTGCAATACATTAACTATGCGAATATTTTGTTGCCAACAGGAACTTTGTTCAATCAGGTTTTGATATGAACCTTGCTTTCTGTAATCAGGAGAAGAAGCAAAGGAATGAGGTTAGCTAAAGATTTTCCCTTAATCTTCTATGCTTAAATTTACGACAACAGAAGTTGGAAAATACAGAACCAACCAATTAGCTGATGTTAGCTCATTTTCTCATTGCGCTATCATTATGGTGTGCTTAAGGTGTAAAATGCCCCAATTATTTTTTGTGCTATATTTCCAACCTTTCCATATGGTTGACTGTGCTCATCCAATGTTTCAATTGCTAGGTATAGCTCGAATGATACAAACTCCTAGTAGATTATGCCAAAATTTAATATCCATGCATCACAATTGTTTGGCCCAACCATAGTCACAGGAAACGGCGGTGGCAGCGATCCTCGACCCGGGAACGCCGTCCCTGTCCCGAAAACACGGGGTCATTTTCGTCCCCACCTTGTAAAAACCTCTCGCAAGTAGCGTATCACGTTCCTCGATCCCGTTCCTCGATCCCATTGACCCAGGAACTTTGTGACTATGGGCCCAACCACCAATTTATACCCCCAAAGCCATCCAGGTCAGGTGGGTCAAACAACCACTTAAGGGGGACGTTCGCCCACTAGCCTTCTCTCGTTGCACCTCTAGTTCTCAGCGTCTTATGGGCCTGCAGGTTTATAGAAAAGCAAAGGCACCGATGAGTAATTGTCTACTTGCAATGTAAAAAAATCCCATTTCGTCCACTGATGGCACAACAACGTTCTGTGTGACAGCAGGGCCCCGCAGGTGCATCGCATTGGAGAAGCATCAAGCAGCACGTGCTACCTCATGGTTCTTCAAGGCCCTTCTCCCGGAAGCACTCCATGGACGCCTCGTCGAGTGATTCGAGGGAGGCATCAACGAGCATGCCAGCGGATGGCAATTCCATGTCCGTGAACATCCCGAAGGCAACCGAGGTAAAGGAAAAACCACTGCTTCCGAACTGAAGGGTGCGGTAGTGTCGAAATAAAGACCACACCGCTTCTCATTCAATACGAGTATTCAATTCTCTTGTATCACTATCACAGGGCGTCGAGTACGGGAGGCAAGCTCCCGTGGCATCGTCCACTCTGGTCGAACTGACGACCAGGCTAGATTTCTTCAAAGAACGGCGGTCACAATTAATGGAGCAACTCCACAGCCTGGATTTAGGAAATGGATCAGCTAATCATGGTTTCCCATACAAGTCTTCGTCACCTTGGAACAGTCCAAGGTAGGAGGAGACTTCTTTTTTTTTGCGACATTCTGTTTGTATATTCTTGGTAAAGAATCCTCTCGTTTTCTTTCGTAGAAGCTGCTAGTGAGAATGAATGTATATCCCTTTCCTGTTCGTCTTCCATTTGTTTTTGTTTTGTTGTTGCATGCGGCAGCCTCTTTTGGGTGTGATTTTGTAATATGCTTTTTGTAATCTATTGTATGTAACACGAGTTGGGGGGATCATAATCATTGCCACTTGTTTCTGGTGTCTTTCCAATATATATTGTGTTTTTAAAATTGGTTGGGGATCAGAGAACAGAGATCTTCATATGCACTGTTGCATAATATACTCTCCGGTCTAAAATATAAAGATTTCTAGGGTTCAAATTTGTAGTACGAGATGTGATACATAATATCTAGATTCATAGTAGATTTGTAGTACAATATGTCACATTATATTAGGTTTATTTATTTTAGGATGAAAGAAGTACATGCTGAAATGTCTCACATACTCTCTTTAAAGGTTGGGTTTAGCAAACCTTTCAATTATTTTTTTTTAAAAAAATATTCATCTGTTTTTTATTCAATTGCATCATTATAATTATTTTTTTTATAACATCTCACATGATTATATTTTAGATAAAAAAATATAATAATTGAAGTATTTGACACCTTGAATTATAATCCATAACGATAACACCACGGTCCACTGGCAACAACCTGAGAAAACTACTTGACAGTACACTTTATTCACTATAGCTGTATGCACATGCGACTCGCATGCCCCCACTGGACGGGTATAAATGTAAGAACTAATGTGTCCAGAACCAAAAATACGATTACATAGGACACGAATCCTGTACAGGAATGGAGAAGTTTAGAAGTGTGTCTTCACTGCCTCTGCAAATAGCAACCTAGCGTCAGCAAACCAATTTACAGGGGGGTGGTTAACTAGGGCGTGCAAGTGCAAGGGCGCAAAGAAGAATCCTCCACGATCATGTGAAACTTCGTTTCAAAAGATGCCTTGGGCAGAGCTTCCACAAAATCGCAGTCTTTGGGGGCACTTCGGTGCTTCACAAGTATGCCAGTTGTTATTTTGTTTTCCTTGATGCGGTCCCAGGAAAAAATCACCTGGAAAGTACCAAAGAACACCTTCCTGTTGTCTAATCTGATCACTTGGGAATTGCAGTAGATCACTTCGCCGATTGTACTGTTGTTGCTTGCTTGGCAAGTACTCGTTCAAACTCGGCACAAGCTTCAGGAGAGTCTTCTTCACTTGGTGGTACCAGTTGCCAGAAGAGTGGCAGATATGCCTCCCATTCTCTCAAAATCGTGGCACCTTTCTCGCTGCCTGTTTTTTCCTGTAAAAGCAACGTTCAGTGTTAGCGAAATGGGAAATGAACGAGTAGTCGGTGCTAAACTTTCCGAAGTGAACTTCACTTACAACGTAAGCCTCAATCAAGCCCTTCAGCTGCATCTGCCCGGCTGGAGCATTCACTCTCTGCATCTTCACAATCTCCTTGTTAACCTAAGGAAACACAACTAATTGTCAATTCTTTACCTTGACAATGACCTTCATACATGAACAATTTACTCATGCAAAGTGATGAAATAGGCAACGAAAGTTATTAGAGATGATAAGATTGTAATATTATATCAGAACATGTAGGCCTTTCTAATCATCATTCCCTGTACTTGCGTAGAATCATGTTTTTTTAGATAAAAGGCCTGACGACGTAGAATCATGTAAAACATGTTAGTCTGAGGTTGTCCTAAGCCGAGCATGCAACTAGACAGAAATATGGAAAATGATATTAAAAAGAACAAGTCCTAACTGGCGTATATACGTGCATGTTATCAAGCTAGTAAAACCAGAAGTTTCAAGGTTATGAAACCTTTGGGACGAGTGTATCATCCTCATCTAGAATATAGGCAAGGCCACCCGTCATTCCAGCTGCAACATTCCTCCCAACTCTGTCGATTGAGAAATATCCATATATCAGGACAAAAGAAGGCGATTCTCAATATGAGAATCCTGCATGTGGTACTTACTTGCCAAGTACAACTACACAGCCACCAGTCATGTACTCGCAGCAATGATCTCCAGTGCCCTCAACCACTGCTTGACCAAGGGAGTTTCTAACTGCAAATCTTTCACCTGTTTTGCCTCTCACAAATACCTGACCACCAGTAGCTCCATACAGACAAGTGTTACCAACTATAGCAGCATCCTCAGGAACAAATCCTGTTTTTTCTACAGGAACTACAACCAGCTCTCCACCAGCCATACCCTGCATTTTTTTTAAAAAAAGAAAAGGTATTATAAATCTGGTCAGGCACAATTTTCAATAGCGCTGCATGCCTGTTTGCATTAGATACCTTTCCCACATAATCGTTGGCCTCTCCAACTAGCCGAATATTCATTCCAGGAGTTAGGAAACATCCAAAGGACTGCCCTGCGCTTCCAGTAAACCTGAAGGGCAAAAAATCATTATGTTCCTACCTTTTCATAAGAGAAATCGAATTAAAAAAAAAAAGAAAACGGTTAACATACGTAATGTTGAGCTGGCCTGCAAATCCTGTGTCACCATACTTCTTGGCAATGACACCTGCTACTCGACCACAGACAGCCCTGTCAACATTGTAAATTTGAAATGTCTTGGAAACCTCCTTCTCATTCTCAATCGCATCGGATATCTGCAAAATAGAATATATATAAGTAATGCTGCACCATTAAGCAAGATACAACTAAACAGTTAGCTTTAAACTACAATTAAGGACATCGTTCGTCCTGGTTTCAAGCTGACCAAGTAGCAGAGTCAAGGATTACTTTGGCTGACTATTCACAAATCAGTCACTAGTGAAGTTAATGTAACTGAGAACCGAATAGAAAACATTACATCAGGATCGGCAAGGATTGTCTCGTCAAGAACAGGGCCATTACTGTGGACATCTTGACTCCTTATCTGAGAGCTACTCCATTTGGGTAATCCAGCACTCTGGTACAATGAGATTGATTACTATAACAAGCATATGGTTGAAATGCCAACTACTAAAACAAAACTGGCAGTTAACTCTGTACCGATAAGAGGTATTTGAGGTCAATGTGCTGTGTTTTCGCCAAAGAGACATGCTTTGCTTTAAGTATATCTGTTCGCCCAATTATATCATCGAGCTTTTCAAAACCCAATTGGGCCAATGTCGCTCGTACCTGGATAATTTAAGCATGAGTATGAAATACGCTGATATGTGCAAAATAAGATATATCACATGACCATAATTGCTACAGAACAAGATTAATACAGATAGCAATAGTAATGTGAATGATGCCATACCTCTTCTGCAACAAAGAGGAAGTAGTTTACAAGATCACCAGGAACACCAGGAAACCTAGCACGAAGTTCTTCTCTCTGCAGGTACATGGAATGTAGGATAAAATACCAGTGTAGGTCGATCTTTTAAGGTGTAAAGATAGAAACTCAAAAGAGGAAGGAAAAAAAATAGCTTCTATTGCCATTACCTGACTAGCAACTCCAACTGGGCAATTGTTTGTGTGGCAAATGCGTGCCATGACACATCCAGTAGCTATCATAGCCACAGAACCAAAACCATATTCATCCGCGCCCATGGCAGCAGCCATAAGGACATCTAGGCCACTTCTGAATCCACCATCCACCCTAAGTACTACCCTCTCTCTCAATCCATTTTGTATAAGTGTCTGGAGACAAGCTAACTAGCATTAGAACAAAGACGATGTTTCAATAGGTAAAAGAAGCAAATAGATGAAGCAAACCTGGTGCGTTTCTGAAAGACCAAGTTCCCAAGGACCCCCAGCATGCTTGATTGAACTAATTGGGCTAGCTCCAGTGCCACCATCATGACCTGATATCTGTGTGACAGAAATACACGTATTTCAAATAAGTTTTCATAAATAATCTAATTCAAATGTTGCAATAATCTATCTGCGTTGAAGCAAAAGGTTATATAGTTTAGTACTACCTCCATCCCAAAATATAAGAGATTTTTGGGACGGAGGTAGTACATTCATTCAATTTGTACATATGTTCAGTATCTTCATTAGTATGGGTATTTTTTGAAGAGAGCATCATGCACCACACTGCTGAGATTTTGGGATCATTTTAGTAAATTTCTCAAAGAATCCTCCACGATCTATAACAGCTTCTTGGGCACATTTTTCACTAGATAGTGGCATTCATTAGCAAGTACTCAGTGTTGAGGCATATGCCACTTTAGTAAAGGAATCAATATTTCTCAATATAGAGAAAAACAAACTACAGAAGAGAGTCCTATCATTGTGAATACCATATATAAATGACAAAATATGTAGCATAAGATAGCAAACAAAACCATATGCGACCTGATAGAGGGATAGCATTGCAGCTAAGAGTTAATGGTACAAAAATAATAGTTGAATAGCAGTAAACCATGGCAAGAGTTAACTCTGAATAATTAACACAGAAAAGTTTAACCAACCTGAATTATGTCTGCGTTTCCTTTGGATACTCCAGAAGCTACAGTTCCAATTCCTGCTTCAGCTACAAGCTTTACAGATACCTTCGCTTTTGGATTGATCTGCTCCCACCAGATATTGAAAAAAAAATGTCTTGGTAAGTGCCAGGGAATGCACCAACTCTACTTCAAATGTCAACAGTAGGTAAAGGTAACAAAAGTGCTCCAATTCTTGCAAGCTACAACAAACTTTTATTCTAAAGCTTATGTAATTCTCCCACAGCACCAACAATATTTCTAGTTGTCATTGGCTCATTGCACCAATACTAAGAGAAGACAAACCTGATGAAGATCATAAATTAACTGTGCTAGATCCTCGATTGAATAGATGTCATGGTGGGGTGGTGGGGATATGAGAGGAACTCCAGGTTTGGAGTTTCTCAGCCGAGCAATGTATGCACTGACTTTTTTCCCTGGAAGTTGGCCCCCTTCACCAGGCTTTGCCCCTTGTGCAATCTTTATCTCAATTTGTTCAGCATTTACTAAAAATGTTGGTGTAACCCCAAAGCGTCCAGATGCAACCTGTAAGAGGATGGTATAAGTGAAAACTAACTCAAAGATACTAATACACTAGAAAATGGACGTTATGTACTCTTGATTAAGGACTACTCTAGTAAGTAAAGGATGAAATAGTTAATCTGCACTAATATATAGAATGAAATTAGTTAAGCATGCTCTGTATCTTTATTTTTTGTGACATAGAGGACACATTATAAGGACAATTTGGCAAAAGTTAAACATGCTCATATTCCAACACAAGTAATGGT